GGTACAATGAGTTCAGAAGGAATTTGCTGATGGTACCGATTAGCAAGTGGGAGGATTTAACTGATGACGAAGAAGTAATTGAGGCTCTACAAGAAGTATATGGCGATGATATTGAGAAGCTAGATCTCCAAGTTGGTTTGCACGCGGAGAAGAAAATTAAAGGCTTTGCCATTAGTGAGACTGCCTTTTTTATATTTCTGCTCATTGCTTCAAGGTATGTCAATATATAACGGTGTACAAAACTTAAACTCTACGCAAAACAAGAATTGATCTTCATGCTAATTTGTGTGACTACATTTGTTTTTCTCCAGGAGGTTAGAAGCTGATCGATTCTTCACAACAGATTTCAATTCGCGAACCTACACAGAGAAAGGCTTCGAATGGGTAAACAAGACAGAGACGTTAAAAGATGTCATTGATCGAAACTTCCCTGAAATGACAGAGAAATATATGAGATGCACAAGTGCATTCTCAGTGTGGAGTTCAGATCCAGATCCTAAACACTACTTACCTCTTTATCTGAGACCAGCAACCTAATAGTAGTACTATTTTGGTTCAATGTGATCAACTTTGTATGGGATGATTATGTTAAAACAAATGTAAGTTTGCAAGGCAAATATAAATGACCCTAGTTTACAGTCAGATGAATAAACCACCAGGAGCTCGTATGAGAGTTGGCTTTGATGATACGTAGTTTTGTAGCGTACCTGTTGTATTAGAGTATGTGATGTCATTTATAGATATAGGCAAGTTTTTTCAAGACTATCTGTTTCCTCATTAAGTTAAACTCCAAGATTAGTTTGTATAAGGAAGCTTAACTTGTGTTAAATTTTATCTGCACTAGGTATTTATATCAAGCAAGTCATACTGATTTATGAGAGATAATATCATAGATGGTCACTCAACTATAAAAAAAAAATTTCAAAAAATCACGTAACTTTGGTTTTTAACTCAAAAGTCACTCAACTTTGGATTCTTTTCTCAGAAAGTCACTCAATTATGGTCTATTTTCTCAGAAAGTCGCTCAATTTTGATTTTTAACTCAAAAGTCACCCAACTATGAATATTTTACTTACAAAGTCACTCAAATTAAAGACAGTTATTTAATTGATTTTTTCAATTAAAATTTATTCACATAATTTTTTTTATCAAAACCAAAATATTAAGAATTAAATAAATCACTAAAGGACCAAATGCAGCATTGGTATACAAATGGAAAATTCAATCACAACTAGTGGAGAATACTCAATAACCAGGGGGTATCATGCACTACTGGGCCAAAGAGAAAAAATGGAAAATGCAGAGTTAATCTGGAACTCTGTATCACTACCAAAACATAGGTTTACTATGTGGTTAGCAACACAAAAAAGACTGCTAACGAAAGAAAGGTTATTGAACATGAAGATACAAGTGGATGATAGTAAATGTTGCTTATGCCAAGATACAGTGATGGAAACTAATAAACACTTGTTTGTAGACTGTGAATATGCTACAAAGGTGAGAGATGCATTGCTAAGTTGGTCAAAAATCAACCTGCCTGCAAGAGAGTTGAACAACATATTGGAACTGATAAAGAAGAAACATTGGAAGAAATTCAAAAAGGAAGTGGTGGCAGCACTGTGGGGGGCTATGGTATACCATATTTGGAAAGCAAGAAACTGGAAACAGTTTAAAGGAGTCAGCTTACAATATTCTGACATGGTAAAGGAAATCACTCGTGAAATAGTGGGAAGGATAGAAATGTATAAAGATTCAAAAAGAGCTATTAGAAGTAGAAGTTTTTGGCAGAATTTATGTACCTAGAATTAGTTTTGTTTTAGTTTGAGACCTTGTACGCACTCACTCCTTAGCAGGGGTAAGGAGGAATGGTGTTTTTAGCTTGTAAGTGGCTTTTTTGTTAATAATAATATTTACATTGGTTGCCAAAAAAAAAAAGAATTAAATAAATGTCCATTTAAACCATTTAATGTCCACCTATTTGATCCGTCCCATTAAAAATATAACAGTGACCCCTTTTATTTTACCTTTTCCTCCCAAAATTATTATCTTATGCGTTTTTCATTTTTTTTTTAGTTAAACAAAATAATTAAATTAAGAATTAGATTTGTAAGAAATTTTTTGGATATTATTAATCAATAATATAACTGAAGGTTTTGACCAGAACATGATGGTCCGTAATGACGCCCTAATATTTTTGTAATGAAGCATAATTAATTTTAATATTATGTTTTAATATTTTACTAGTAATTATTTAGAATATTATATCTTATATTTTACCAGTGACCAATAAATACTAATCATTTGATTTACATATACTTTTAGCACCTAATTAATGATGTTAACAACATATTATTGTAATAAATAAAGAAATAACATTAAGTCGAACAGTTCAACTTCTTGTTTAATTTGAGTGCATTTTATAACTGTCTTTGTGTTATATTCAAAAGTTTAAAATTAAACCTATCAAATCATGCATTAGTTAATTAAAAAAATGGGATAAGGGTTTGAAAAATATCCTAACTATGATCGGATTTATTGTTGTGTTACTAAACTTTCATGAGGACCTATTACCTCCCTAGACTATTTAATACCGTATTTTAAACATATATTTGCCCACGTGGACATAAAAAATAATGCAAAATTATAAATAGTAATGTGTCCACGTGGGAACATATATACCTTTAAAATACACTATTAAATAGTTCAGGGGGTAAAAAATACGGTATTAAATAGTCTATGGAGGTAATAGGTCCTTATGAAAGTTTAATATCGCAACAGCAAATCCGACCAAAGTTGGGATATTTTTCAGACCCTTATCCCTAAAAAAAACGCACAAGAGATAAGGAAATAATTTTGGGGGGAAAAAGTAAAAGAAAAGGTTGAGTGACTTTGTAAGTAAAATTCATAGTTGAGTGATTTTATGAGAAAACCATCTTATAGTTAAGTGATTTTTGAGTTAAAAAGACAAAGTTGAGTGATTTTCTGTGAAAATAGTTCATAGTTAAGTGACTTGAGTTAAAAACTAAAATTAAGTGACTTTCTGTAAAAAAAGTCCATAGTTGAGTGACCATCTGAGAAAATAGGTCATAGTTGAGTGACCATCTGAGATATTATCTCCTGATTTATCATGATTAAGTTATAAATGAAGGTGCAAATGTGTATTGTTTAGTGATAAAAGTTATGCGAAGACATATGTGATGTGTCATGTATTTATTAGGTTAGTATAAACATCAAAGTGCAGGTATTTTTTTAGTATAATTTTTTCCACCATTAGTAGAGACAATTGCATGCAAAAATGACAAAACGAAAAGCTTGGAAAAAATAAAAAAAACAGATGAAAAGCTATTTTTTTTTTAATTGAATAGTGGACAAAGTCCACCCCTTTATTTAAAAGATAAAATACTCCAATTGGGTCCAAAAGTGACCCAACTGTAACAAAGAATTCCAGTAACAGATGAAAAGCTTATTAAAAGAACGGAAAAGGGTCATATTTGCCCTTATACTCTCAAAAAAGGGTTATATTTGCCCTTCGTTATACTTTTTTGATATATTTGCCTTTGTCATCCAACTTAAGGTACATATTTATCCTTGAACAGTTAAGTCTCATATCTCCACTTTTATCATCCTATGTGGCATCTACATGGCGCCTACACAGATATTTATATTTACTCTACATTATTTTTTTTATAAAATTTAATTATTATATCTAACTCAATATTATAATCAACCATTTAACCCATTAATCCCAACTCCTAATATTTATTTTATTGTCACTTTCGCCAAAAAAAAATAACAATTAGATTTGCTTAATTGAGCCCCAAATCCCAAAATCTCAAATTTCCCCAAAACACACACATAGAGTTTGAATTTTTTGCTGAATTTTTCAAGAATATCAAACAGAGCATAACGAAGAACAACAAATATACCCACCCCTCACCTCGAAATCCCCAAAAAACACACACCAAGATCAAATTTTTAGCTGAATCTTCAAGAATATTAAACAGAGCACAAGGAAGAACACCTAATATACCCAAAACACACACACCCAGATCGATTTTTCAGCTGAACTTTCAAGTAAAATGATGAACAACACTTATTCACCCATCAGAGAAACTGCCCAAGAAGGAACAGAATCCTATATTCACGAAGAACCCTCTTCGATTTGGTGCGGCTGTTTCAGATTCCCTTGTTTCCCATCAACCCGAAAAGAAGGCGAAGCAAATTCTCTGATCCAAGAAAGAGAAAACAGAGATTCATGGATAGTGAAAAATAAGAAGGAATTGAGAGAGTATTCTGAACTTGTAGCTGGACCCAAATGGAAGAATTTGGTAAGGAAGATCGAAAAATACTGTAACCCTAAGAAATCTTCAGCTAAAACGACGCAGTTTTAGTATGATTCAGATAGTTATGCTCTCAATTTCGACAATGGCGGTGGTGATGGAAGGGATGATGATGGGCTTTTACGTAATTTCTCATCTCGATGCCACATAGTATGACTACATGTAGATGCCACATAGGATGATAAAATTTTAGATATGAAACTTAACGGTTCAAGGGTAAATATGTACCTTAAGTTGGATGTCAATGGCAAATATATCAAAAAAGTATAACGAAGGGCAAATATAACCCTTTTCTGAGAGTACAAAGGCAAATATGACCCTTTTCCGTTAAAAGAAGGAGGAGATTTTTTTAAAAAGGCAAAATTAAAATTTATGCACGCGCCAACTAGGAGCGTGGTAGATTAAATTTCCCGGGACTCCAAAATTTCAAATTTATCTTCGCGGTAAAAATGTTAAAATACCAAAGCTCCGAGTCACATTACTCAGTGAAAGTGAAAACAATAAACGAATAACTATTTGCCACGTGGACAATCGACTTAGAGTTTGCTAACGTGGCGCTTATTGGATTTCACTTTCATTTCCGTCACAGTACCGTTAGCCTGACAATTTTGGAGCTAGGTATAGATTATTGAACACATGCTCTTCTTCCCGCCATTTTCTCTCACTTCCTCCAATCGCCATTTTTTCATCTACAGATCCAAAACCCAGAAAGCTCAAAGGAAGAAAGGTAGGAGAAAATACCTAGAATCTTCTAGAAGAATTAAAGAGGAAAAAAATGGGTATCAAAGATCTCCTCCGGTTCATGAAGCCCTATGTTGAAACCGCCCACATTAAAAAATACGCCGGCAAAAGGGTAAAATCCATTTCATTGACTTTCAATTCAATGTACAAATTCATCGCATTTATCACATTCTGGGTTTTGATAAAAATCCAATTTTGTTGGGAATAGGTGGGAATCGATGCTTATTCTTGGCTTCACAAAGGAGGTATTTTTTTTAAATTTTGTTTGACATTTATTAATCAAGATTCGATTTTTGTAATCTATATTTTAGTTTTAAATGGATAGAATCAATAAAAGCTGTAATTTTCAGCATATTCATGTAGTATGGAGCTTTGCCTTAATTCGGAGGGTGATAAGAAATTGCAGTACTTGAACTACTTCATGCATCGAATCAATATGCTTCGACATTATAAGATCACTCCTGTAGTTGTTTTTGATGGTGGGAACTTACCCTGCAAGGGTGCTACGGAAGACGAGAGGCACAAGTGTGTAATCTAAAATTTAATTCTTGTTAATTAATACCTGATTTTGTGTTGTTACTAGCCTTTTGGATGGTGAATCTTTTATTTCAATAGGAGAAGGAAAACAAATAGAGATCAGGCAATGTTGAAGCTAAAGGAAGGCAATGTTGCTGGCGCTGTTGAGCTCTTCCAGGTACTTTTATGCAGTTTCTTTATTAATCCCATGGTTAACTAGTTGCTGTGGTTTGATAATTTATGGAAAATGCCTAAAAGGTTGTGGCTTTTGAGAATAGTTAAACTATGCTATATTGGTGTACCTTTAGATGGTTAATGCACAATCCAGTCAGGTGGCAAACTAATGTTTCGTTTTATCCATTCTAATGCTTCATATGCAGAGGGCTGTGAGTGTCACTCCTTCAATGGCGCATCAACTCATACAGGTACTTGAAAATCATCTATTGAGTTCAGCCAGTTAGAGTTTTAAACAGTAGACTAACTTGTCTACTTTCAGTCATAAAAGACGTTTATTCCTTTTCTTTGTTTGTGGAAGACATTTCAGACACTTTCCTGGTTTTTTCTCAGTAGTTTGGCATGATTTCAATTATCCATAGCTGCTAATTCTAGATTTCAAGTAATCCAGCTGTTACAAAGATCTTCTACTCGTGCAGATTCTGAAGTCAGAGAATATAGAATTCGTAGTAGCACCATATGAAGCTGATGCACAATTAGCCTACTTGTCTAACCTCAAAGAAGAAAAGAATGGAATTGTGGCAGTGATTTCTGAAGATAGTGACTTACTAGCATATGGCTGTCCCGCTGTAAGAAAATCTGAAATACTTTGATATGGCATGATGGAGGTTACTGCTCTCCTAACAGCTTAATTCCCCTTATTTAGAATCTAGTGGACCCATGTTGATTTTATGTGCTTGTCAACAGGTTTTCTTTAAGATGGATGCCCATGGCAATGGTCAAGAAGTGGTACTAGACCATGTTTTCAGTTGTGATACTCGTGTTCCTTCCTTCAGACATTTCAACAAAGATTTATTTACAGGTTATTCTCAATTTCTAACTTTAACTCATTTGCATTGAGAACCAAAATTAGAACATTTAGAAGTTGCTATACCCTACTATCAGCTATCACTCCAAGGTACTCTTGCGACTGATAATGATGATGATCAACTGCCTTTGTTCTTGTAGTCAATGGAAGCAAACTAGCTGCTGAAAGTGAAATGCTTTCTAAAAACATTTGACTATCTTTCTTCCTTGTAACTTTTTACGATATTTACCTTTTTGCACCATTTGCAGGCATGTGTGTCTTAGCTGGCTGTGATTTTCTTCCTTCAGTCCCTGGTATAGGAATTACAAGAGCTTATAATCTGGTCTCCAAATATCGCAACTTAGATCGAGTAAGCATATTCTCTATTTGTTCAAAACAGAGAAGTTTATCTTCTTGCATCGGTAATTGGTGATAAATTTCTATGAACAAAAAATTTCCTATGCCTGACGATTAATTTCTAATTTGAAAAAATTCTCTTCACCTGGATTTTACTATTAATAAGAAACATGAAAGACTAAAATGCCATCAGAATTGACTTGGTTTATTTGGCATTGCTTACATCAGCTTTGCACCTGTCTGATACCTGATCTTTTACCTGATAGATATATGGATACCAATTGAAGATGTAATTACTTTCTAATTAAGAGGTGAAATCATAAGATCCTTCTAGAGAAGACATCGAGGAACAACATAATTGATTTTACTAGATCTTGTTCAACAATTTGATCATTATGATTGGATGCTTCATTCCCCAGCAAATGTCTGTATTATATGGTTTGGATGTTTAGTGGAGAAATTTGCATTGTCCCATATTGTTCTTTGCTTAAGAAGTCCTGAAAAGATTTATAATCTTTGAGCATCGCAATTAAAAGTCATTTTCCAATGTTTAACAGGCTCTTTCCACGTTAAAGTTTGAGAAAGGAGATCAAATGCCCGAAGATTACGCAAGATCATTTAGAGAAGCAGTTGCAGTTTTCCATCATGCTAGAATGTGAGTCTAATAATTGACATGACATCTTTTTGATGTAGTTCTGCCTTTATTTGTCAGCTGACACAAATAATCAACTTTTCGTCTATGTTTGATCAGATATGATGTTAGTTTGAAGCGGATTAAGCACTTGAAACCCATCCCAGAAGAGCTGTTGCAGTTTTTGGATGAAGAACTTGACTTCTTAGGACCGTATCCTTTAGTTACTTGGACCTTGCCTTCTCTTATGCCAAAGCTTCAGCATTCTCTAACCTTTTATAGAATAGTGCTTTAAATTGCTAAATCTGATGTTTCTGCAATGAAAGGTATGGTAAATAAATTTCTCCTTGACAGTCATAAGAGAAATTCTTCCGTCATTGGCAACATCAATTGCTCAAGGTAACATAGATCCTTGTACAATGGAGGCCTTCAATGTCTTTCCCAGTACAGTAAATCATGTCTCTACTGCAAACATCAAGAAAATTTGTGGTCCCTTCTCTCGACAAGAGGCATTTACTCAAGCTTCAAAAGACAGCAGCGTTTTTGCTATTTCTTCAAGTAAATCCAGAAAAGAAACAACAGGCAAGCTTGATATTCATATAACCATTAATGCCACATATTTTTTCTTGTGCGTGCTAATGTCACTAAGGGTAGAACTTGTGTTGGCAAAGAGATGATGATTCTCCAATATTTATTCAACACATTTTTTGTTGTCATTTTCAGTGGTGGAGACATTGCAAGCCTCTGATGCTGAACAGATGCAGTGTCCGTTTATGGATGAAAGTGAGTGCTTAGAGGAAGCAGTAGCTCTTCAAAATATGATACGCCCTTCAATATCAACTCGGAAGATGGTGGGAGAAGAGAAAAAGAGTCATCGAAAAGAAGTGCTGAAAGTTCCAGATAATAATCCTTTTAGGAAACGAAAAGTGGAGGAATTTGAGCCAGATGAGATGGATAGTGTTACTGAGCTAGTCTCAGAAGTTACTGAAGTTGAACGCCTGGAAGTTATATGTACAATTCCGGAATCACAAAAAAGTGTGGAATCTAAGCCAGTTAAAATGATTGAGTTAAAAACAGTTACCAAGGAAAAGAAGGTTAAGAGGAGTAGTTGCCAAAGTTCAGAAAACAAGAAAAACACTATACTAAATTTCTTTTCTCGAGTGTAATTTATAAAATTTGACTCAACATATTAATTTCTTGTGTCAATCACTTTACTTTTTTCAGTTTCTCATCTTGGAAATTTCTTAATACTATTCTCAATTATACACATCAGTTCCACTGTCATCGCAAGTGATAGGCAATCTGTGGTACAACTTAAGGTCTAGACTAAGTTTAACCTTCCATCATTTGGACTTCTAATTACCATAACTTATATAATATAGTTATATTATAAACCCTCTTGTTAGTTTTAGTTAAAGCAATTTGATGAATTAACTATTTAGGTTAATTTTTCTATATTACATAAGTAGAATTCAAGAATTAGGATGATGCAATGCTAAAACTCTGTTATTCATTCCTTATTAGTACAGCAAACTGCAAGCATCAGAGACATAGAGATGTGCTAAATTACAGAAAGAACAATTTTATAACAAACTACTATAAGTGGAAATCCTAGTGCCTAAGAAAGGAACTCAACTTATTTTGTGTTTTTTCGCACATTAAAGTCACTCAACGTATGAGTATCAAGTTCTCTAAAATCAAAATAAACATGGAACTACAGACAAGGGCAAGAGCAGCCTTAATGCTTCTGGCGCTTAAGCAATTTCTTGAACCAATATGCTGACATCTTCGGGTATCGTTTGAGGGTATTGAAATCAACATAGACAATGCCAAATCTGGAAGTATAACCCAATCTCCATTCAAAGTTGTCAAGCAATGACCACGCGAAGTAGCCTATGACATTAGCTCCATCATCCACTGTCTTCTTCAGTTGTTGCAAATAGCTCTTATAGTAGTCGATCCTTTTGGTGTCATGTAAAGCTTTTGGAAGGGTAATGTTGCCCGCATAATCCATACCTGAAAATCATACCATTTATAATTTGGTCTGTAAGACGCTGAACAATAAACGTTTCACTAGTTAAGCAAACCATACCATTTTCTGCTAGAATAATGGTAGGATTTCCATAGTGTTCTTTAACATAGTTGACAGCTTTATATAGACCCCATGGCACAATGTAGAGCCAATATGAGTGTGCCTACAGACATTTTTCAGCAAAGATAGTGTTAGCTAACAATTAGGATATAAGTATGTATTTCGGTTAGAAACAATGTTAATTAACTTCATCATATACTCACCCTAGGACCAATTGGTACTCCCTTGCGGTCATCTACATCAGGACAACGAAAAGAATTTGAATCAGTAGTAATTCCCTTTTACTAGGCCTAACTTAAAGAAGTGAAAAAGGTGGAAGTATCTTACAAGCAAATCCAACATTCCAGTCCTGTTGGTAACCCAAGGGTTGCGGTGTGGTATAATGAGGGTCATACATGTAGTAGGAAGTGTACTGGTTTATGCCCACATAATCAAATGATCCCTTCACCATCTTAACCTCTTCTTTCGAGAACTTGGGTAATCGCGTTCCCACAATATTTTGCATGGTTTTTGGGTACTCACCATATACAAGAGGATGCAAGAACCTGTAAAACAAGTCCAAAGTAAAATTAGTATTTCAGGTTGTGCAGCTCTAAAGAGAAGGCTTTAGTAACCCCGAACTTTACACAGAGTTGACAGCTCATAAGAGATGAAATTTTGAACTTTTTTTGTGATATGTAAATATAACTAACGGGGACTCGATACATATTGGAACATGACTGCATCACTATATGTGCAAACTCTTACCATCCCAAATGAAAGTCTCTAGCTCTTTGAGCAGCATAGTTGTCGGCTTTTCCTTTTGTTAGAGGTTCGTACCACACAAAATCCAATAGAATGCCAAACTTCCCTTTCTGTTTCTCCTGTTATTACATATACAACATGAGGTCAAAGACGGATCTGATCCCAAAAGCAAGGAAATACGGAAAAAAAGAGAGAACATATTACTTGATACTTCTCACGGTATCTCTGTGCTGCAGAAGCATGACATAAGATGAGATTGTGGGCAACAATATAAGGCTCAGTAGCAGAATCCCCTTCTGTGCAATTTCCAAAAGGCTTTGAACATCTTCCAGGTGCAAAGAATCCATTATCATACCCTAAAGCAGCAACCACTCTTGGCTCATTAAATGAGAACCAATTCTTCACTCTGTCTCCGAATGTCTTAAAACAAAACTCAGCATAATCAGCAAAATCCTTCCTGCAAAATTTGCACCATTAACAAAATGAAGAAGCAAATAGCATAAAGATTCTTCTTCAATAGAAAATGTCAAGAAATGATGTGCTTACACGACTTCACGGCCCAACCATCCGTTGTACCTATCTTGAAGTGCTTGTGGTAAATCATAGTGATTCAGATTAGCATACGGGGTAATACCTGTAAAAAGTTTGTTTAAAGCTTAGTATGGTACTTAACTACTATGTTGCTCGGACACTTCAAAAATGCCGACAGGTGCGTGTTGATCCATCCAAAATTGTGCATTTTTGGAGGATCTGACACGTGTGCTACAACATTTTTTGGGAGTCCAAGCAACATAGCTTAACTATACATTTCCACAATAACAATCATTAAAAAAGGAACAAAAAGAATGTTACCTCTTTTGAGCATATAATCGATCAATCTATTATAATAAGCAACTCCCTTCCAGTTCACTTTACCAGTTCCATCTACATTAAGACACAAATTAAAAATTATCATTCATTCTTCTAAATGGCAAATATCTAACTTTGGAGTAGACAATAAAGTAGTAAAATTACTTGGGAAAATCCTTGACCACGAAATTGAGAAACGATAAGCTTCAAAGTTGAGCTTCGCCATCAGATCAATATCCTCCTGTACCCATTACAATAATTTCAATTTTACGAATAGTTTTAACTTATATATAGATTTGTGAATAATGACACATAGAAAATGAAAACATAGTAGTAACCTTGTATCGATGATATTGATCAACAGCAATTTCTCCATTGGCATTGTTTGGTTCAAGTCCTGTTTTCATTCAATAATCAAATTTAATCAGAACAAAATCAAAATCATTATAGAACTTGTAGTACTATAATCTAAGATTAAGTAATTAATGGTACCAGGTATTTTAAGGAAAGTGTCCCAAATACTAGGTCCGCGGCCTTCAGTACTGGCAGAACCTTCTACTTGGTAAGCTGAAGTTGCTGTTCCGAATATAAATCCCTTCGGAAAACTTTCTCTACTCAAACCTCCGGTGTCCAATATGGTATTTTCCGGCGACACGTCATTATTTTCAGAATGTACGGTAAGTACAGTAGCTGCAATTAACAGCAGCAAAATTAGACATGGAGGATTTGCTTTCATTATTACTAATTTTATTTATGAGTTGAGTAGAATGTAAAAGAATATGGTGGCAATGGTAATATATTTATAGTAGAAAAATAATGCATTATTTGTCCTGACTTGTCACGAGCAACAATAAAATAAATAAATTATTTCTTAAATTTTCAAACTGACTGATCTATTTTAAGTAGGCGTTTGACCATACGATACCATATCACGATATAATGTTGTGAGATGAAATCAGCGTTTGGATATGCGATTTTACGCTGATTCCATCTCATGATTCCATATCATGAGAGGTGATACCATATTCTCCAAAAACCATGATATGGAATTATATGGTGATTCCATATCATGATTTGAGATATTTTAATACAATAATTGATCCATGAGTTTATATTTTGTTAAAACAACCCCACATTTATATCTACTAACCATTTGTTTCATATGTAAATAAAATTTATAATCACATCATTACTTTTTTAAATTTATTATTCTCACCAATATAAAATTTTATTATTACTTTAAATTTGGTGAATATAAATGATAAAGTAGAAATTCATTTGGTGAATATAAATAAGAACGAAGGGAGTAATACTTTTTTGATTTTTCATAATAAAAAAAACGTCTTAATCTTATGACTAAGCATAATATTGATAAAAGACAATTTTCATTGGCGGTGTCGCACTTTCTTAATCTTAGTATTCGCAAAATGTTCGTTCACATGACTGAAGAATATCAAGTCCAATGGATTAAGGACTTGGGAAAAATTTGATCAATTAGTTATTTAATATTTAGTCAAGTGGACTAGTTATAATTTTTTTGATTAAATTTTATTAGAAGTGTTTTTGACTCAAACTTGTGGTAACTTTTTAAAATTTCGTTATTCTATAATATTTAACTATTGATTTTTCTTGTAAATAGTTAGAAGTCAGTGATGTTTGTTAATTTTTATCTTAGTGTATTTAACTTCTAAGTTAATATTTACTCACTAATGTATGTTTTTTTCCTACTTTATAGGTTATTTGTAAGAGTAGTTGAGAGATATGAGCATATCAAGTACAATTTATGTTCAATTTTTTTTATTAAATTAAAGTTAGATGAAACAATTACTTAAGTAGAGAACAAATAACTTTGTAATAATTTATTATGCGATTGTATAATTTTTTGTTTATTTGATAAGATTGAATAAACAATTAGGGCTATTTTAATAGTTTTACAACTTATGAGATTTTTATGTTTATGAAAAAATATACAATACAAAAATTCCATATCGTCTGTCCAAACAAACCTTCAATTTCATCTCATGATTCCATATCATGATACCATATCATAATTCCATATCATGATACCATATCGCATGGCCAAACGGGCCCTAAGTATAGGGGATAAATATATCCAAGAGAGTAATAACGTTGGGGTCCATGCCTTATCTTTGTATTCTCTTAAAAAATTACTTTATCTCCTAAAATACTTGTTATGTTTCACTTTTCAAGAGATTAACCAAATAAAATTTTTTTCGTCATATGAGTAAAGTTGCAACTAATAATACTTTTTATATAGTTATAAAATATCTAAATTGTAACTTTAAAATATTGAATTAATATGATTAGCTTCAAAAATTAGTCTAATTAACTCTCAAAATACGAAACATGATAATTAGCGTGAGATGGAAGGAGTATTACTTGATTTTTTTATTTATATTCCTTTGTTTTATATAGTAGATAGGGAAAGAAAAAAAAACTGAGGAAATTGTAAAATGAAAAATAAAATCCTTACTAACCAGATGAAAATTCTAATATATCATATAGGCACAAGATGAGCTATATATCATACGAAAGAAGATTCAGGGTGTGTTTGGTATGAAGGAAAATGTTTTCCTAGAAACTGTTTTCCTGGAAAACAAGTAGATTTTTTATTTATTTTCTTATGTTTGGTTGGTGAGTAGAAAATATTTTCTGATTTTTTTTTTAGTGTTTGTTTTATGAATGAAAATTATTTTTGAGAAAATATATCTTTTTTTTATTAGATAGCAGAAAATAATTTTTGAATTGAAATTGAAAGTATTTTTTAAAAATAAACTTAATTTTTTTTGTGGGGGGTGGGGGTGGCGGGGTAGGGGATAGGGGATAAGGATGAGATGGGGTAAAAAAATAAATTTTTGAAACTAAAAATATTTTTTAAAAATAAACTTAATTTTTTTTTGGGGGGTGGGGGTGGGGGGCTGATGGAGCGTAGGGGTGGGGTGGGATTGAAAAAATAAAAAATTTAAATTGAAAATAGGGAGGGGGGGGGGGGTCAGGGGCAGAGGTGGGGGTGAAAAAATAATATTTTGAAATTGGAAATATTTTTTAAAAACAAACTTTAATTATTATTTTTTTTGGGGGGGGGGGGGGTTGGGGTAGGGTGGGTGAAAAAATAAAAAAATTTGAAATTGAAAATATTTTTTAAAAACAAACTTAATTTTTTGGTGGGTTGGCGGGGAGGCAGGTAGTGGGGCCTCCTGGGGGTCAGGGTAGGGGAGGGGTGGGGTGAAAAACAAAAAAATGAAATTGAAAGTATTTTTTATAAAACAAACTTTAAATTCATTTTTTTTTTTGGTGGTGGGGGGAGGTTGAGGGTAGGGGTGGGGTGGGGTGAAAAGCAAAAAAATGAAATTGAAAGTATTTTTTATAAAACAAACTTTAAATTCATTTTTTTTTTTGGTGGTGGGGGGAGGTTGAGGGTAGGGGTGGGGTGAAAATAAAATTTTGAAATTGAAAATACTTTTTAAAAACAAACATTAAATTTTAATTTTTTTTGGTGGGGGGTGGGGCTGGCGGGAGGGGGGGTCGGGGTGAGGGTGGGTAAAGAAATAAAAAAGTTTGAAGTTGAAAAATATTTTTTAAAAGTAAGCTTGAAATTTATTTTTTCAACAAAAAAATTATAATTTGAAGTTGGAGGAAAATTTTGAAAAATGTTTTCCTTAAGTTTTGAAGGGAAGTCATTTTCTTTGAATTTGAGGAAAATAAATTAATTTGAAAAACATTTTCCAAAATATTTTACTCAACCAAACATGAGAAAATTGAAATGTTTTCCTTCATACCAAACGCACCCTCAGTGTAACTCGAGAACCAAATAAATGGTAAAAAGATGACCATAGGACAACAAGAAAATAAAGAAATAATTAATCAATAGAAAATGCCCTTCCCAATTCTCTCTCAGACAAAAAAAAGAGATACATTACTTTACTAATTAAGAATAGTCCTCAAAATAGAAATTGTGAAGCCATGTAGATTCAAATTTTGTTGGCCTTATTTGATCTTTTGATTTCGAAAGTTGCCCTTTAGATTTCAGATTATCAATTTTATCACATTGTTGAAAGTAGACTTTTTACTTTCTTCAATCGTTCAAGTTAAAAACTACTTGCAATTGGAAAAAAGTATAACAAATTTCTCATCTGATATACACCTTTGTGGTTTACAAATTGTTACTTGAGAAATTTACCAAATTTAAATGGTGTACGAATTTTTATTCTTTCCATTTCTTTAATTTGTAGAACCAGTTGCGTTCAATATATTTCAGGGTTAAATAGTTTTTTTTCACTAAATAATGAACATGTACATATCATTAGTGTAATAGAGGATCGGTTATGGTTCACATACATTTAGTACTTTCTCCATCTCAATTTAGCTGTCTAATTTTGATTTGACCCAGAATTTAAAAAAATAAAGAAAATTTTAAATCTGATAATTTTAACCATGTTATATGAAAAACAAGAACTGAAGACCTGTGTTAATAAGGAAAATAAACATTGTTTTTTAAACATACTAAAAGTAAAATAAGACAAATAATTTTATTCAAACTTAGAAATCTACTAAATATTTGATTGCAAATTGAATAATTATTACAAAATTTATCTAAGATTGTTATAAAAATTATAAACTTTAAATATTGAATCCACTTGTCGGTCGATTACACTTACTTTTTGCGCTCGACGTACGAACGTATCAAGTTGAGAAGAAAAAAACAAGGTGATAAATAAGAAGGACTCCTTTGTTGACCAAAAAAGAAACTAATTGCTTAAATGATTGGTAACAAACAAGTGAGAGAAGTTTGTGTTGATAAGTAGGGATAAAAGAAGGAGCATTAGAGCTTGGTTCCTAAGTTTTATTGGTCCAGTACATATAATTATCTTCACCTTGGACCCTTTTAGATATTTTCTACTAGAATTTCTTATTTAGAGGTCCAGATTTTTTTTATTGTTTTTTTAAATATATATATATATATATATGCTTTCAAAAACAGAATTACGGGTGTCGATTTTTCTTTTTTAAATCAATACTCGTGTACACAAATCAATCAATTGATGCAAAATTTACTATTGTTATTACACTTTACATTGTGCTAATCATGTACCATTAAAACAATGTTCTGTACAAGAAATCATCTATATTTGAAGTTTTTATAGATTTTAACTTCGTTCCTTAAAAGATACTCCCTCTGTCCACAATTGTTTGTCAGGATAAGGTCATGCACATCCCTCAAGGAAAATTTAATACAAGGTGTAATTTGACTAATATAACCTTACTATATCAAGAATACTAAAAGTCCACATAACTTTTCAATTGAACTACACAATCATTAAGGGCAGAATTGGAAAAAAATGACTAATTATTTCTTGATTGTTTAAATTGACAATTAATTTTGAACATCTATTTTTAGTATACCTGCCAAACAATTGTGGACGGAGGGAGTATACATAATACACATGTTTTTACATAAAAGGGGAAAATTCACATATAGAAGCCAATTGAGATGGTCCCTAGATTAGGAGTGGGAGATGGGCACGGTTTCCATTACTCAACAGAAAGGACTATTGCTGGGCCCATTACTACGCACGCCTGGCCGAAGGGCATGTGAACTACAACTACATTTTTTGCCTAATATCGTCAAAACACACACTACACTCACCTCACCATCTTGGGCTACTAAAATTCATTTCTGACTTCTTCACAAAAATTGGTCAAATCAATGTTTGATATTTACAAATTGTTCTATTGATAATCAATATTGTTTTTAAAGAAGGAAAACTTACTTCCATCTCTAATATGGTTGGGACGAAGAGTAAGCCTTTCCAGACTTAGACCCAAAATAATAGAATTCATTAAGATCACCAATGACTTATTTCATTTGAACATACGATTTTAAATATGCAATTTCATCCCATAATTTCAAATCAGTTCCGTCACATGTCTCTTTAGCAATTCTTTACAAAAATATTATTTTTATTGACAAATAAATATTATGTTATAGATGTTGGTCTTCGACAAAGCTACTAATATTAAATTTTACCTTTTTATCAAACTAAAATTTGATCAATAAATGTTGTATTTTTCTAGAATAATTTTGTGATATTATATTTCACTTTTGCTATGAACTTTTACTTGTTTGAAAAAATTGTACAAAATATTGAGGCAATTCGACAAAAAAATTCAAATTACATGTATAAACGAAATTTTAACTTCAACTTATATAATTTCAAATCATGAATTCATCTCTAGCTAGTGCCCATTCCCTCAGGATGTAACTCCTTAAAATAAACAACGGCGGCAGTGATATCAGAGAGATGGTCATTTCCCGTGAAAAAAGTAGCACAATCAAAGGGCAACATAACTGAAAGGACGTCACAACTTACAAATAGAATAAAAAAACTGCAAATCCCTATAAAAAGCCTGAGCAATAAGATCACACTTGCATCATCCTAAAACATGGAACTGTAACCAAAAACCTATAATAGGAATGACAAATTATATATAAAAAAAATCAACGCATAAGTACAAATGTAAGAAGCAAAACCATAATGGCTGCTAAGGGTTTTGTGATGCACCAGGACAAAAGACTCGAACACCACGCCACAGCATGTTGATGCTATCCATGTCGAAAACAATCCAACTTTAACTTTTTGATTATTTTTTTTTCGTCTATTAGAAAATAAGAGTACCTTTTGGATACAGGGAAGTGATCATCCCTTCGGAAAAATTCTTTAACTTGGTGGTTCCTTATTACCATGACTACAACTAGTGGCACCATTCATGAGCTGTCCGCAGTTGAGGCCAACCAACATTTCAATGTTTAAACTGCATTTCCAGTTGATTTTCAAAATAACCTAATGTGCAAATATGAACAACTCAATTGCTTATCATCAACACTTGTCAACTCAAAACATCTCAGTTACTGTGGAGTGATTCCCCATACACGAACACAAGCATCCTCGCCAGAACTCACTATACTGCGTTCATCAGTAAAAGCTAGTCCATATACTCCACCCAAATGAGCTCCTTTAATAGTGATTCGATGCGATGCTGGCTTGCTGACGTCATATATTATAACACATGTGTCTAGAGATCCAGTAGCTACCATGGTGTTATCAGGTGACCAATCCAGGCAATTTATTCGGGCAGTATGGTATAACATATTCTTAAGTTTAACCTTTAAAACATAAAAGTTTTTATTAGTTATAAAATGTACAAATATATCAAATAAGTTGACTACACAAGTAAAAGTGATAGTTATTACCTCGCGAGATGCACGATCCCAGACGACAGCTTCTCGGTTCACATCTGCTGATGCAAACATGGAAACATCTGGAGAGTACCGAATAACAGTAATAGCTCCCCTGTGTTTTTCAAGGACAACCTCTTCATTGAGAGTATCACCCGTGATGGAATACAAATGAAGTTTACCATCCTGACCACCCACTATTGCTTCAGTTCCATCAGGTGAAATAACAGATGCCGTCACCGTAAATCCGAGGTTTTTGGTTGACAGCACTTCTGTACCACGGAGAAGAATGACTCCAGTTTCAAACGAAACTAAAGTTACTTCAGGAGAATTAAGGGCAAGGCTTAAGTCCTTAGGTTGGGTGCCAACATCTACAGAATTTGCATCTCCGCATTGATCTCCAAGCAGAGATACTCTCCAGATCTGAGTCCAATCAAGAAGAAAAAGAAATTGCATTATAGCCAACAGTTATAAGGAACTCTACTTTTGTTTGATTTGACAAAATTGTCTTTGAGCATCATCTTTTTAGCCCAAAGAAATAAGAAGGAACATATAAAAGCAGGAAGACTTAGAAACCCAAAGTATCACTCACATCACACATAAAACATTTAACGTTCTTAGAAATGCCACATTATTGGTATCTACTGGACAAGAATGACAATAATGAGATATCATCTAATCATATTACTCGTAAAATTGATGCAACTTATGTAAGTGGTCAAATAGTTCTTCTATAAGATCTTTCAAACATTATGGTTAAATAACTCCCCTAGTAAATGGATAAATAGCTGACCTTAGAAGAGTGATTGTAATCCCTCTTCTTTCTTTCTTCTCAGAAATAAACCCTCGGTTTAAATTCTAAAGCTGGTTTTAAAAGAATAGAGCCTTAAGCAAGTACTTTCTTTAAAAACCAAATTCAAACAGAATAAAACGGAACCATAGAGCACCAGCTAGATCTCTGAGAGACCTTTTTCTATTCACAGAAAAGTAAATATCACAACTCACCTCCTAATATATCATATAAGAAATGAAAAAGGAGTTGTTATAACTCACCTTGTTGTCAAACGCACATGACACAATTTCTCCTTCCACAATTGCAAAGCATTTGATTTGAGAAGTCACCTTTCTGTCTAATTTCCCGCTATATCCAATGCCTTGAATCCATTTGACAATCAAACCATCATAACTGGTGGACAATATGATTTTCGGGTCGCTTCTGAGGACAGCTAAGGAATTAACATTTTTCATGTGTCCAGAAAATGACACGGGAGATTTTTCCAGATCACTTGCTGAGAATATGGAAATAGTTCCACCAAGAGAAACAGTAACAAGATGGTCATTTTGCCAGAGACAGCCAACTAGCATGTCCTCAACTCCACCAGAACCAGGAGAAGCCAGTGTTTTCTTCACTTTCCCTTTTGCATCATCAGATATATCCCATATTTTTGCTGACTTATCAGCAGAGACTGTGAGCACCTGAAATTAATAAAATGTCAGACAGTGTAGGTATACTCAGAACAGGAAAGATTGACAGTGCATAATGGTAGTAGACTATGAAGCTACAGTTTTAAATTTTCATCCAAGCTGGTTCCTTTAAGCAATTTTGATGAAAAAGATTCTGTGGCATTAGGAGAAAAGTATAATGTATTGTCAAACCTGAGAAAGTCAGCCAGAAAAATAGTGTAGTATGGCATACTCCTAACCAATAACTTCAGTGTTCTTGGCATATTCAATTCGTGTAGCACTCTCAAGAGAATAAATTATAATTCAGCACAACAGGGAAATAAATGGAAATGAACTAGCATGGAGATCCAACAATCACCTGTTTACTATCAGGACTCCAACTAACAGCATATATACTTCCTTGATGACCATCCTCAGATGACAGCTCTCCAATTATATCTCCTGTTTTGGCATCATAAATGATGCCCTTCTTGTCAGAGCTTACACTGATAAGTTTGCTTCCGTCTGGAGAGAACCTCAAACAATTGACAAAATTTGAATGCTCCCTGTAGGTCCAAGGAAAAATGACACTTAAATCACAACCATTCTGAACATGTTATCTATGACGCAATCATACTCATGTTACATTAAATGGCCACATGGATTGTTCAAAGAACATATCAAAAGTCTCTGAGCTCGGACTGGAACTATAACTACTGGTTTTTTATTTCCTTATTTCTAGCAGGCAGTTTACAAGAGACGAAAACCACATTGCAACAGGAACGGTAAAAGGTAAATATATGGGTGTATATGTACCATGCATGATGCAAGCTCTAACAATCTCAACTACAAGAATGGATTTATCATGTACACCAAAATGAACTCTCTCAAAGGTCCTCCGCCTGGCATTGAAAAGCTGTGTCACTCGGACTCTCCAAAAATGTTGCCGCATCCGTGTCGGATTCTCCAATAATACACTATTTTTGGAGTATACAACACGCAATCGTCAATATTTTTGAAGAGTCGTGGCAACATAGTTGAAAAGTGCTTTATTTTCAGAGAAAGACAGGTCCTAAGGTTCTTTTAAAATTGTCAATCTTCTCTCCCAAGTTCATTGTTTTACTGATTACTATTCATTTATGAACAGATTGTTTCTCTGCTTGCTTTGGGCAAACATTTTGGAGAAAACAATAACCATATAGTGATATTGATACAAAAAAGAGAATGGAAGACACTTGTTCTAATTCAACATAACAGAAAGGATAAGGAACCTGTGAGACAGCTTGAATTTAAATGGTGGTCCTTCATAAAAGTTCATCAAGAAGTCTTCACCGCACGTGGCTATGCGAAATGGTCTTGTGGGTTTAAAAGCGCAACTCAAAACTCTCTTTGAATGGCCATCAAATTCACCCACATTTGTTCCCGAGTCCCACCTGCCAGTTCATAAAACAAGGATAATAGATATGCAAAGATAGCAATCTTAGGACATAAATTCAAATAGGGGCATTTAAAATGAGCTCAAATGTGTTCTAGACTAGAAAGAAAAGAAGAAGCACATGTACAAATTCCTTCTCCGCGATGTTAGATACAACATTATTAGTTTCACACATGGTTCTTTCTTCATTCAACTTTACATTATGCCCTAGCAACCATACGAGCTTGGTGTGAAATCTCTGTGATTGTTCACATCTTCCAGCTATTGTCTTCAAGTATGTCTGATAATCACAATATAGAAGCCCTTTTTGGATAATAAGGAGGCTCAATATAATAGCCCTTTCAAATTTTCTTCTCTTAGTTCTCCATGCTAGTCTACAACATCTGATGCTATGGTAAGGTGACAGCTTTAAAAATTTAAGGTTGCTTTAATAAAATTTACTATAAGAGCTCCAGGATCAAAGTACAGTAATATCATATACAGCTATCAGTAAAGTGATTTTCTTTTGGAGCAGTACTTTCAGTAAAATATATTACCCAGATTGAATAACTGTGTCCTAACTTTTTAATATTACACTGTTTTGAAAGGTAAGGCTTCGGGTTTTAATTGTTTCTAGTTAAGCTGTCCATGGTGAAATTTAACACGTTTTGAGAAAGCATCTGGATAAGAATGGTATTAAACTAACTTACCAAAATAAAGAAGACAATCTGGAAGTGTGCCGACTGTCCTCTAAGGAATCTAAAGTCAAATTGATAAAAAATTTTGTCCATCGAATAAAGGGTAGCAAAATTTCATCAATTCGGAAGAAGGTGATTTCTTCGAATCACATATTTATCTTTGATGATATTAAAAAGGCATCCCGGTGCACGAAGCATGTTGTGTTCTCGCAGGGTATAGGACAGGACTGCACTGAATGTAATGTAGGCAGCCCATCCACAAGCATTAATGATTGATACCGCAGATGAAACGTGTGACCTATAGGTTGGAGACAACTTTAACCAATTAACCTTGCCCAAAGGCACCCCTTAATGATGACATTACTGATCAGAATTTTCAAGCACGTTATATTTCTTGGTTTAAAAGAAAGCTCTGGTTGAGACTGCATTCATTTATTTATATTCAACTTGATACATGGGAAGGACTTACTCTACTAATGGCTTGGCTTGGTCTCGCTCCCTTCTCGCACTAGTCCTCCCCATTAAAGGAACAATCGAGTATCTTAAGAACCTTCCCAAGCGTCTGCCTTCACGGGAGCAATTGGAAAAAAATGGAGTATTTAAGTCTTTTACTACCTTCCATTCAGCTGATAAAAGTTGTTGTTATAGACGATACATATATAGAAAGCCTATTTGGTTCCAGTAGTTACTTTACTAGATTTTTCTTCTTTTTCCTTTCTACAATGGAGATAGTCGCACGTAATGACAGATCACAGCCATATCATTAAAATCTTGTGGTAAGAATGTGTTTGTTCTAGTGCTGGCAAAGCACAATGTTTAGACATATAACATGCTGCATATACGTCAAATGGGTAGGCAGAGATCATATTTCTGATCCAAATCCACCTAGAATATATAGCAATCAGCATCAAAACAATCCTGGGCATTTACCTTTTGCTTGTTTAAAATAAAAGTTAAAGTCAATTGAAAGTAGAAATTCCAGCCTAATCATTAAGAAGTACTATTATAGTTTGAATGGAAAGGAAACAATTTAGCTCAATCTCAGAGGATCTGGAGTGAGCTTCGCAAAGCATATCACACGCCAGATAAAGCAGCAAAATTGCAGTATAGTGACAGCAAAAAAAATCAACTATGATAAATCCTCTAAATACATTCATTAGGACTTGCCCTACGCCTGTATATACCGAAATGAATAAAGACGATCATCATTTTGCACAAATTTACAACAACAGAAAATAACAACACAAAAGAAACACTAACAGAAAGAAAGAAGAAGGAAAAGGGGAAACTAACATGAAGGCACGAACAAGTGATTTTCCCTTGCCATCACCACAAGCAACAATGCGCATTCCATCAGGAGACCATTGAAGGTCATCGATCCGACCCGATAGGACCCGAAACTCTTTCTTAAGAACGAAGTCATTATGGGTCCCCCAGATCCGAACAGTACCTGAAACGTCAGCAGAAGCGATCCACTCACCATTAGGAGAATAACGAGCGACTGTAGCCTGATAAGCATGCTCCCCGTAAACTGCAACTTGGAGGGGGCGATCGAGGTACCGGATAATAACGGATCGGCCGTTACAATAAAGGATAGAGTTGGATTTCGGGTCACCCGAAATGAGAATACCGCGACCTCGTTCAGTGGAAGGTATACAAGCGTAAGTTTCTTTGAGCTCAGCCATGGAGATTTGTTGTGTTTATGGAGAAAAGGTGAGAGATGATGAAAGATTAGGGGAAACTAATTTTGTGAACTGTACAACTGCTTTTAGCTCTCCACCTTTTTCGATTATCTGACCGTGCCAGCACGTTCTTCTTGAATGACACGTGGTCTCTTGTTATTGGGTATGTTTTTTTTTTTTTTTACATAATTATTGTTATTATTTACTTTTTCATCTTTTGGAATCGTAAATAACAAAGAGAACTCGTAGAAGAGGTGAATTTAAGAAAATAAAAAGAAACCAAGTACACATGATATACACAATTTTTATCATGATTATTTTTCTTATACACCATACCAAATAAATGTGTAACTTGAGGGTTGAAGATTGATTGATTTCCCCAAACAGATATGGAATCTCTTGGTGCCCGTTTGGACGGGCTTTTAAGTTGGTCAAACTGACTTAAAAGTCAGTTTTTGATTTATTAGATTGTTTGACAATTATCAAAGTGACTTAAAAATAAGTCACTTTTGGCTTGTTTTAAGTCAAAAGTTAAAAGTAGGGTGAGGGCAACTTTTTTTTTTTAACTTAAAAGTCATTTTATGTTGACCAAGTATATTATCTTTTTGCCCTTAATTCTTTTACACAATTCCCAAATTGCCCTTAAAACCCTAGCATTTCTTTACTTCAATTTTCTTTTTCACGTTTGTGCGGCTGGAAGCGTGAAACATTCTTCCTTTTCTCTCGATTGATAGCAATGCTATCAGATGTAGGAAAATAATGAATAGTTTTAAATTTTTTCTTGATTATCTTTCGATTTTTATTTTTTTTATTATAGATTTTTTTTGTGTGTCTTCTGTTGCTGATCCTGTTTTGTGTATTTTCTGTGATCTATTCAAATTATATATTTTTAAAATCTACAATAAGTTGCGCATATAAAATTAACTTAAATAATAAATTTATATTTCTGTTATAAATAATTTGTGATGATAAAGAAATATGTGAATGATAGGAAAATATTATTACTTATGGATGTAAAATATAAATTAATTTTATTTTAAGAATAAAAACCTTAAATTAATCAACTTTTTATCATGTTAACAACTTTAAGGGTATTTCAGACATTTTGATAAAAAAAGTGTTTACCAACACTTATTTGCCAAACACATCAACAATTTTTTTTTTAACTGCAACACTTTTATTCAAACACATAACTACTTATTTTTAAAATAAGTTTCAGCACTTTGAAAAGTTACTTTTTAAAAATTACTCTTTTTAAGTCAATCCAAACGGGCGCTTAGGCTAAAGCTCATTTCATTGCCTCTTGGCTAAGCCCATTTATTGAAGGGTAAATCACATAAATATGCTACATTAAGAAAATATTTACTATTTATGGCAATATAATTTTTCTAACTAAATATAACAATTTTTTTGAATTAAAAAAATTGTACAGTTTATGTTCGCCTCTTTCTCTGCCTTTTTTCTCTTCCTCCTCTTTTCTTTTTTTTATTCTTCTTCTTCTCGTCTTTTTCTTTGCCATTCTTTCTCTTCCTCCTTTCTTCTTCTTTTTATTCTTCTTTGTCTTTGAATTTTTCATTTAAAGAAATATCTTCAAATAAGTTTTTACCTATATTTCACAATTTTTACCCAAAAACACGACGAGAAGAGGAACAAAAATATCAAAAATTTGTACAAAATCATGTTTTCAAGCAGAAATTTCAAATCTCTAAAATTACAGCAACAAGAATTCATCATCGATGGTCATTATAAAGCTTCAAATTTTGAATTAATTATTTGAATTTTACGAATTATTAATTAATTTGGATAGATTGTTCCTACAAATAATTGAAAACGACGTTTGAAGTTTATAACTCAATTTCAAGAAAACTTTGGTTTATCATTGATTTTAGGAGAAATATTAGATTGAAGCTCGAAAAGGTAAAGTTTATAGAACTATATCGCAATTGTATTAAAGTTGTATTAGATATGTTTCATAATTGTATTAAAATTGTATTAAAATCATGAACAATACATTTATAATACATATTGCAAACTTCACACCCTTTTTAGTGATATCAACCAAAATAGTTATGTAACACACTTGTAATACATTTATAATATAATATAGGCACGATACATTTGTAATTCATATTGCAAACATCACTTTTTTTTCTTAGTGATACAAATCAAAATAATTTATAAGATATATAGAATACATGTTTTATTCATAAATAATACATTTATAAGTAATACATATTGCACACTTCACTTCTTTCTTAGTGATACCAACAAGAATAATTTAGGTAACACACTAATAATACACTTATAAGACATGCACAATACATTTTTAATACATATTGTTACCGTCACTCATTTTCTTAGTGATCAAAATAATTTATAAGACACATATAATATAAGTTTTATTCATGAGAAATACATTTATAATACATATATATTGCAACCATCACTCATTTTCTTAGTGATACAAATCAAAATAATTTATAAGACACATATAATATAAATTTTATTCGTGAACAATACATTTTTAATACATATTGCAAACTTTACTCTATTTTTAGTGATACCAACCAAATGATTTAGGTAACACACTTATTATACATTTATAATACGTGCACACTATATTTTTAATACATATTGCAAACATCACTCATGTTCTTAATGATACAAACCAAAATAATTTATAAGAAACATAAAATACATGTTTTATTCATGAATAACACAAGTTTAATTCAGTTTATAGATTATTGTCTTGTCTTTCGTTAGTTACGTTTTTCATTTATTCTTAATTCTCGCTTCTACAACTTTAATATTGTGTAATACACTTTTAATGCAAATTTAATTCATTTTGAAGTTTATTATATGTTACTATTAGATTACTTGTTTAATTCATTATTGATATAAGTTTAATTCACTGTATATATCATTGGCTAGTCTTTCATAAGTTACTTTTTATATTCATGTTTAATTCTCTCTTCTAATTCAACTTTAATATTTGTGTAATACACTTTTAAATACAAGTTAATTCATTTTGCAGTTTATTGGTTGATTTGTTAGGATTGAATTACTTGTTTAATTCACTATTGATACAAGTTTTATTCAGTTTACATATCACATAATGCTCTTTCGTTTGCTACATTTTCCATTCATGTTTAATTCAACTTTAATATGTGTGTAATACATTTTAATTCAAGTTTAATTCATTTGACAGTTTATTATGTTTCTTCATTTGTTACGATTAAATTACTTGTCTAATTAATTATTGATACAAGTTTTATTCAATCTACGAATCATTGACTGCTCATTCATTTGCTACATTTTGTATTCGTGTTTATTTCTCTTCTAATTCAATTTTAATATGTGTATAATACATTTTTAATTCAAGTTTAATTCATTTTGTAGTTTATTGGTGATGCTTCGGAACAAAAAAATGATTAATTTGACCGTATTGGTTTACTTCAATTTATAAGACATGTATAATACATATTTTATTCATTAAGAACATAAGCTCAGAAATTATAGTGGTTGACAACTTAATTTCCAGGGACAAATAGAGAAAGAATGAACTCAGGAATTTATTCTCCCTTTTAGAGGCATAACGAACTGAATGTATGGCTGAAGATTGTGGATCTTTCAATTATAATATTAAAAAATTGACACCTTGCACATGGAGGCAAAAAAAGAGAGAAAGAGGGGACAAATAAAAAGGAGAAAGAGGCGAGACAAAAAACTGAAATATAATAAAATACATAGTATTGTTATATGTTGTTATAAATGGTAATAAATAAAAAGTATATTTAAAATAAGTAATTATTTTTTAAAATGGATTCACCCAAGTAATTATTCCTTTATTGAAGTATTATGAAGAGTAATCTTGAGATCAAATAGAAGTAAGCCGGCCCATATAATGCATGAGCTCATTTGCGTGCAATTCCAAATGTATAATTAGAAATTGGCAATCTAAGAGAAATTTAAGACAGTGAAATACAAGGTCCGATCCCTTGTTTAACTATATAATTATTATATTAAATTTGAACCATTTTTCTATTTGTAATTATCAAAGTTATGTGGATTGATCTTATATATTTGATGTAGGTATATTTGTATATACCTTTTTTCTCTCTTTATATCGATTATGTGTTCCTCATTTTAGAAGAGAAAAAAAAACGGATGAAATCGAGTTGATGGGTTTTCCGTGGAGCTAGTAAGGTAATTTTACACTAAAAAATAAAAGTAATATATGTCTAAATAGTCAGTATTTTTTAACGTGTAATACTGTCGCATTGTAAATTATACTTTATTATGTATTGTTACTTGGTATCATTTTAAGTGATCTGATACTAAGCAAATGATAGTGTAAAAAGCTTATATGAGTTAAACTCGTAAAAGAAATGCAATGATACGGGTGGACAATTAAGAACAAGGGAAAGTAAAAAAGAATATAATAGGACAAACGTACTTAAACACGTCAATATATATATAGTTTAAGTCATAATAATACATCGACCAAACAGCTAGCAAACATGAATTCTACGTACAAAAGTTCATACATTTAACATTTCAAACTTAAAGAGTGATTAGCTAAATAATAAGTGCCAAACACAAAACACACAAATTAAAATTCACCGACAGTAGTATAATTAACGATATTCACACATGATATATATAGATATAGTCCATCATCGCTCAGTTAGCGCTTGCGATTTGCTGGTTCCTTGTGAGCATTGAAATAAACAGTTGCAACTGGTGTGCCAAGATCAAGTTGGTGTGCGAACACCCGAGTACAGAAATGAGCCCTTGCTACTGGTGGCTGCAAAATTCCCTGCATTGGCGCATTCTGCCGGAACAGTACCAGTATGTACCTGTGTATCCCAACTGGTGGACGTGGCCCAACATACCCCAGTACCTCATTACCTGCAATTTATATAATACCCATATTTTACGTTAATCATCGATGGTACGTACTTGTTGGAGTCCTAATTAACTAATCAATGTATCTAAATTTCGATTTATTTGTTCACGGTAAAAAGGGAAGTGAGAGATATGGGCAGGGGGAGATTTATATTACTGCCACAAAGGTCCATATCAAATTAAACTATCGCACACTTCAAGTTTGAACGATATCATATAAATTGAGACTTTTATTTATTTTTCATGACACAGAAGGGTTCACTCATTTATTTATGAAGAGAATATGGAGATGACAAGTGGCATGAAAAATGCTTACTAGGCTAACTCCAGCTTATATCCAGCTGTACTTCCTGATCTAGAAGGTACTTATATGACAATTTAGACAAAAAAAACGAAATATATTCTTTCGATATTTTTGTTCTCTTCTTCATCAAAAGTTTTCTTCTTCTCGATCGTCTTTTATGTAAAGAAGTGATGATCATTAATGATTTATGTTTCCATGAGATCTACGCTACTAGAAATTAACGACAAACAAAATTTTATCGTTAAACAATAAAATTTCATTTAACGAGAGATAATAAGAAAATTCAACTAGTTAGGAGCTATTAATTAGCAACGGAACATTACTTGGGATTACCGACAAATTTTGTAACTAATTTCATGTTTTTTTTTTAGTAGTGTTAAACATTATAGACATTTCAATGTACCTATGAAATTAATATATAATGATTAAAGACATTTACCTCGAGCAACGTTGCTGCACCCAGGTATGTCTGTCACAATCCTGAAACAAAGCCAACAATGTATATATATATATGATAGATGTAATTAAACATGTAAACAAAGAAAAATTAATAAAATAATCAACAAAGTAATTTTTATTTATTTATAAAAGCATGATAATATGTTTTAATTTTATTTGCTTAGAATGATAGGATAAATACTTACCAATGCACCCACTCTCTCATAGTTGGTTCACTTGGACTTGGAGCATCAGGGTCCGTCATAACCTATATATACACACCATGCATGCATGTATTAGAATTTAACTTATATACACTGACAGTTACAATTACTATAAATAAGCGATTAATTACCAGAGTGTAAAATTCATCAGGGTGTCCACCGATGGTGATTTTAGGAGGTTCAATGGCAATAGATGGTTTGATATCACAACCATTAGTGACATGTTTGTTAGCATAATGGACAGACATAGTTACACTAGGCACAAACATGTCAACTATATCACCAATCACTCTTCCAACCACAAGAGGATCAACTTTTCCACCCATTATTATGTTTGTTTGTTTTTTGTTTCAAATTAAATGTATTGGGGTTTTATTTATATAGACAAAAAATGGTTACCTACGTACGTTTTGAACATGCATAGGTTAATAGAAAGAGAAGGCAACACGTGTCGACTTATTAAACTAAAATGCAATTATAATTTCTTGTAAAATGTAGACACGTGGTTTTAGTTGTTAGTAGGAGGAAAATCTGTCATCAGTTACAAGTTGAAAGACAATAGAAATGGAAGGAACAGCTAAAAAGTGAGTAATTCAGTGTGCTTTAATATAAGGAGATGAAAGAATTGAAAGGCCATATTTAATGGAGTTGCCTCCATGTTTTACATGCATATATGCTTACTTTCTTCTTTTTTTGGTTTTGTTGTTTCCCTAGAATCCCCATACTTCTTATACTACTAATAATATTATACATAAAGTATGCAAGGATTCCCTCATTAAAGTGAACGTTAACATCCCTATTTAACTCCTTTCACAAAAAAGAGTACTGCTTTGATTCTCTTTTTCTGTTCATTCAATGTATATAGTTTGATTTTAAGTACTGGGAGATTACAATTCGAGTGGCCTAGTTCATTCGTATAACTTAAACCCATAAGAACTACTCATAACCATTCATTTTTACTTCTCACATTCTATTTTATCAGAGTTAATTTGACTAATTTTTGAAGCTAAATTGGATAGATTAATTCAATAGTTAAATTAATGTAGTACATTTTTTGATAACTATACAACTACAAGTTTACAATCCTTTCTCATATTAATATATATATATAAATGATGAACAAATGCATTTAAAAATGCTAGTCAAAGTTTATGCAGTTTGACTTTGTGACAAGTAAAAATGAACGGAGAAATAAGTAAAAAGTGATCAAGAGAGTAGCAGACTTAACATATTTATGAAGTAAGGACTTAGCTTATACTCCCTCTAGTCCATATTAAGTGAATTGCTGAGGTATAACACACTCCTTCAAAAAAATATTTAAGAACATAAATTAAAGGCTACTTTCCACTATTACCCTTTTAATTTTTCTTGAAGCGAAAAAAAAAAGTCCCAACAATTTTCTTCAGACTGAAAAGGCTAGGTTGTTATTGTTTCACAACGGGATATGAGGCAATTTGACAGTCTACATTACATATGGAGTAGAGGCTTGTATATTTGGTGAGTGAATTCAAGATTTGAATTTTATGTATTCAAATTTGAAATTCGATAAGAATCTATTTGATTTATTGATTTCTAAAAGTATTATTTGTACTTGTTAAATAGATTTTTCAAAAATACATAACCTAAATTTTCAGTACTAAAATTGATTCATGAACAGCCATAGCTTCATTCATTTGCTGAACAGTCGTTACACAACCAGAAAAATTACAATATCACTAGCCTGAATGAACGAATACAGAGGACTGAATTTGCCCTACGTGGCATTTGAACAAGAACTACATTTTTTTAGTACAAGGTTCAACTGCTGGAGATTAACTAATATTTGAAGAGCAATGCCATAGAGTTTATGTACACTAAAACTAGAGGTAGGATATACGGATAAAGTGATGCTTGAATAGCAACTGCAGCAGATTCATCGTTGATCTCCGAGGAGTCTACTGCAAGAGGCATACCATCACTGTTAAGGGTGCACGACTGAGGATCTGAACTGCCTTCCGTCAACATTAAAGCCCTCAAAACAGAAGAAACTGTGTGAATGTAAGTGGATCGATTTTTGTTGAGAAGCCATGTTAGACCCATCAATTGGCAATCCCTGCTGCGCATTTTCCTAGTCCTATCCTCTAACCTGCTCTGGTTTCCGACTCTGGCCTCACTAAGCTGCAATGTGCCACGACGCATTAGATAAAAAAAAAGATAGCTTTCTGCTGATAAATCTGAAACAAGTTAGTTCCTTATACAACATGCTTTTAGTCATTGGCAAAATTTCTTACTTTCACATGATTCCCAAGTAAAAAAATCATTTAACTAATAAACAGATCAATTCTTGCATGTAAAATGCAAACACAATGTTACATTGTTATGAGCTTGCTCCAGTGCGCCAAAATATAAATTATCATCATCCAAGTAACTTGAGATAAAACAGCTCAAAATACAGGAAATATAGCTGACCACGGACACCCTAATAAGAGGTGGTGTCATGAGATTTGAATTACACCCTCGAATAGAAGAGAGAGAGCGTAAAGCGATGTCCCCCCACCCCACCAGCCGGAGGGCAGAGGCTGCACTACAATAACGGATCCAGCCAAAGGTCCTTAGACACTATCTAAAGGTTTTTTTTTCCAGTAGATGCAGTCCAACAGGCTCCAAGAATTCCAATGAGAAATGTGATCGACTCCTCTTTTCGAAAAAGAAGAACTAAGAAATCAATTTAGAGAAGAATACCACACAAGTAGACCATAATAAAACAACCAATATGGAGGAGTTTCCATTTGCAGATACTCGTATAGTCTCATTTAGTTTTCCTGCTGTATGAGATCAATACCTTATTTCACTCTAGTTGAATAATATGATTTACCCTAGACAAATTGGTGGATAATTTACCTACTGATATGCATGCTACTAATCCCAAGCCCTCAAATATTGTGGTTGCCTATGCTCAAGCCTAGCGTAGACACTTCAATTGTATCAGTGCTGAATTAAACATGATTTTCGATAGCTTTTCTTCTTGAAACGAGGATCTACTATCTTTTTACAGACAAATTTATCTATTATATGCAGGTCTGCAGAAAGACTAATTGGCGATAGAAGAAGATGGCACCATATAGACATAAACTAAAGTATTTGACTTCTTCTGTACCCCATTTGTTACAGAAAAATGTTCACCTAACTCTACAAATTAGGTGTCATTTCTGCTAAGCAGAATTAAGCCTTTGCAACTGCCAAACATTACTCCAAAATTACAGAGACGATCATATAGCGAACAGAGGTCATTTGAACAAAACAGGGATGTTATTTGAACAAACTTTTGGAGAATCTTAGTAGCTCAGTTGGTTGGCTACCTGAGAGTTCGATTCCCATCTTGTAATCTGCTCGCCTATTTTTCCTTCCCTACCCTCATTTTTTTTTTAATAAAGAAATAAAAAATTTGGTCATAGTTTACAGGCGCCATGCATTATCTTCATCAATATCACTGGATAGGTAAGCGCGTGGTAGTTCTGGCTCCTATTTGATTTCCCACCTGATGTCCGATACCTACATTGGAGCTCGACTAAATCCTAATTACATGGCCCATTTATGGAGAGGCGCTCCCAACAGGACTTTTTTCATTTCCAAACTCAAAACGAGACCTCTTGTTAATGGGAGGAATCCAACCATCCCACCTCAACCCATTTTGGTTACTATTTGATCATTCTTTAATGGAGAATACGAAACCAAAACCCCCCAAAGTTCATACTTTCTCTTCTCTTCTTTATCTATCTATACCACTATTTCCCCTAATGTAAACTTAATTTATAAAAGCAAAAGCAGATAACTTTCCCAAATTCTCTATATTTCAGAATTGAGACCCACATTATGCATAATAAGTTATTAAGACTGTTAACTTACCAGATAAAGACTGTTCAAGCACTTGGAGCAACCAGCAAGACCAGTATACCCATTATTGCTCAAACAATCTCTTTCCAATCTCTTCACGCTTTTATCACCTACCAATTTCCCTTTCGAATCCACAGAGAATGCTTCTGGGCAACTGAGTGGATGAAGCCTAATTCCACAATAACAATAAAATACATCACAAGTCTTGTTTGGCTTCACCAATTCAATTCCTCTGTTTCCCAATGCCTTTTCAATAGAGTCCACACACGTCTCCGAATCGTCAGGGAGCACCGGCATATCAACAGAAGTCGACTGTGGTAGTTTCGTAACAGCTCTGTGTAGTGCCGTTCTAGAGTAAGCCGAGTAGAGCCAGGCAGCTAGAACAGGGCAACAACGGGTCTGGTGTACTTGACCCGAATAGCCGTGGGACCCACAAGCTGATTTAACGCTGTGGTAGAGGTCTTCCGGTAGATCCAATGGGCAACCGGCGACGTTCGACTGCTCCGGGAAAGCAGGAATTGTGGCCGGCGGTGCAGAGGAAGGTAAGAATGTTTGAGAACGGACCTCAAATGGGTCGGGTTCGGGTAAAACCGGCATGGAGAGTAATTCGGGTGGATAACCCAAGAAAAGTAGAGTGAAGAAGAAGTAAACGTAGAGGGACATTGCTTTGAGAATGAGGGAAATGTGAAGTTCAGTGCTTTTGGAATAGCAAAATAAAAAAGTGGAAATGAGGGAAGAAAAAAATGGAAGTTTGGTGGCTTTATTGATAGGCAATTGATTATGTATTTCATTTTCGTTTATGTTTTTACGGTGGTATAGATATATCAAACTTTACGGGATCTAAATTATATTAATGTTACTTATTGAATTCTATATTCAATAAAAAATTTAACATCAAATTAATTAAATTGAATTTATACATCAACTTCTAACTTCATCCTTAACTAATTAATCTAATAAAGATTGTGTTAGAAGAATAAGGATGAGGTTTTGGACTAATGAGGCAATGGTGTAGGGTATGAGTGGTTGGATAAAGTTTGTTTGATATATTTTCTTGAGGCCTAAATCTCTAGAATAATGATGATAGTGACTCATAAAAAAAAATGTACAGTAGTATAGTTATATATATCAAATATATAAATTATTCTAGTTTTGTTATGGTTTACAAATAATTCTTGGACATGCCGAGAATCATAGCATGTTGCCTGTCTCTTGAATATAATGCAGATACAGTTGCTTAGTTGCGTACATACCAACATTACATTATATAGAATATCTCTTGTTCAAAGAAAACGAGGAATAAATATAATTTAATCTAAGATTACGCATTAATAAAAGTATATAAACTTTTATAATATCTTGAAGTTGATAGAATATACTACCATAATAACTACGCTCAAATAATTAGGAATATTTAATCTAAATTCGCTTAATGTATAGTAACAGTCAAGTTGTTTTCGCCTTAATTTTTGTTAGCATTTATTTAAGTACGTAATGTATAAAGTGATTGTAATGAATTTCGTCTCTTTTAAGTACATGCATAGTACAACATATGTTAATTAATTAATTAGGGCTTTTTGTTTTATGTTGGAAGATAATACTATTGTTTACTTAAAAAGCATTAGTAGTGGTGGGTTGATCTCATAATTAATTATTGGATTTTAACCCAAGGTAATCATGATTACGAGGAGTACTACTGTCAAATCCTTATGCAACGGACAGGAAATATGGTAGTATTTTTTAGCGGTTCATTATAGTTATCGTGCTTACTAAAAATAGTTGATTCAGATAATCGTTATTTTAATAAATAATTTAAATCAACAATAAATATATACAACTTGACAACAACAAAAAAGTTACACCATCTCTTATCTTTTTCTTGCACATATAAAAGCCAAATAAATATCAGAATGTTTGATTAAGACTTGTTTGATAGTAATTACTAATTACATATACTCCTATTAAACATCAATTCATCATCATTCTTTTTTGGAGTTAATCGCTTGTTACCCTTCTTCTTGTGGTCTTAATTATTACGTATAATGAAATAAGTAATCATATTATTAATCAAACATTGAGTTGTTAGACCAATTTTTGGACTTGATTATCCAATTAAGGAAGAACCATTAATTCCCCTAAAATATCGAGATGGATAGACTTTATATCGTACCGTAAAATAAAATTAGAAAAAAATGATAAAAAATCACCTAAACTACTAGTAGATTTCTATTAGTTTCATATTTAAACTATGCCTATTCTATATTATATATCCTTGGACTATAACTTTCAGATATTCATATTTTTATGAATTTTATATTTGAACTATGACTAATTTATATTAAGCTTAGAATATGACATGACATGAATGGAGGAAACAGATCACATGGTCCTTATGAACTCGAACGATTGGAGTTTCTCGTGAGGCATGCAGCTCTTTTGTCCACTTCATGATCTGCAACTCCACATTCCTTAATTCTTTAACTTTATTTAATTACTTGTCTTTTTCAATAGTACCACTATTCTTCTTTTGGTCCTTTTTTCGTATCCTCATTAAATTAGGCCGCTAAAAATTTACTTCTATATAATATTTGTACCAAATTAATAAATCGAAGTGTGGAGGAAGGGTCATCTCAACTCGATACTTCTGAATTTATAAAATTTTAATTTTGAATCTATTTCTAAACGCATGACTGGTTAATTATTATAGGTATATATATTTCACCTTAATTTTTTATTTAAATATGCCCATGAATTAACCCCACTTCGAAGGGGTTACATCAACCTTTGAAAAGGAAAAAAGGAAATTGCTATCGCATATATAATGAGTTAAAGTTTTTCATGAAAATAACAGTGAGTTCGACGGCATTGGTTTTTAGAAATATATGAGCTGTCAATGCCCCAACTTATGTAATGCTCTTTGGATTATTTTACTTAGTTATATTTTTATTTTTTATGCTGTATAAGAAATAATGTGTTCTAATTAGCATACTCTTATTTATTGTTTTAAATAATTAGAGATATTATTTCTTTAATTACTATTTAATAAAAAAAAAGTAATCTAAGCAATAACATTATATATCATAGTATGTATAATATTATATGTGCTCTTCACTTGAATTTTCTATGTTACTTTAGTTCGTGTTACAATTACTATTAAGAGAAAAATGAAAAAATGGACACAATTATCTCTCGATGTCTAAAATGTCAATTATTTTAAATCAATATATTTTTAATAAAAACAACAAATAAGGTGGTAAAGTACTAAATTTAAAAGGTAAAAGAAGAGTCAAAGCAGAACCTTGTTATTTTATTAACTTTGATACAAATAGGGTCCCATAAATTGTATGTATGCAAATTGTTATGGAAACAAGACAAGTAAGTAATCAACGGGACAAAGCTGTACTACAAGATAAAGAGCTAAATGAATTAATGAATTGATCATGTTTGGTTGGTCACGGGATCTCTATTATATTTGCAATACAAATAAAATAAAATAAAATAAAAATACTTATAATATATATTTGCTTTGTTTTATTATTTTCTTTGTTTTTCGAATGATCAACCGATGAGAAAACTTATTTAACACATTAATATGGAAGAAGTCTAATTAACAAACTAATCAAATAATGGAAACTGTGATTAGTGTAAAAAGACTCAAAAGGTATAAATTGGGCAGTGTATACAAAAGCTGTCTGGGCTTTATAATATTTTATAAAGGCAACTAGATTCGTTTGATAATTAACCAAATATTATTTTGTTTCTGGTCTTGTCTTGACTTTTATTCTCAAATTAATTATTTTGGATAAGTTATCCTATCATGTATATGAAATAATTTATCCTATTAGTATGATATAAATAGTAGGATAAATAGTCAATAATTATCTAATACCTCTAACCAAACACAAAATAAAATAATCATATATTTTATTTCAATATTATTGTACCTCATACCTCACACCAACCTACATCTATTTTATTATTGCATTCTCTGCCATCAGGTCACAATTAAGAATTGTAGTATATTTGTTCATTGTAATATACTATTTATTAGCACGAATACCAACTTAATACTGTAGTCAAGGCTCTAAACACACTCAAATCATTGCTTATGACCATTTTTATTTTAAATGGAAATAAATTTTAAAAGCTACTATCTGATTGTCAATAAGAAACTCCACTCCTTCCCCACACCCACCCAATAAAAAAATCCCAGTAAAACCATTGCACACAAGTAGAGGTTCAGCCAATATATACCCACATTACGTACTCTTCGACCTTCAATTTATTTATCTGATTTTGACTCGACACAAATTATAAAAAAGTAAAAGGAAGAAATTAACCTTGTAGTCTTGAACATTAAACATGAGATATCGAACTTACAATTGATACTAGTTTTTTTTCCTATTGGTATTCGATATCCATATTAAACCGAGTAAATTTAAGATTCAGACTGAAAAATCTCACGACTCTTTAACAAAAACGACTCAATACTTAGACGTCTAATTAAAAATAAAAAAGTATTTATTACATAATCACAATCCTTATCAATAGAATTGATATTGTTAATTTATAAGAACATTGATATTATATTGTAGTTGAAATATAGTGCGCATGGAGGTGTCTTTGGGTGTGGTGTACAAAGCTGCTAAAAAACAAAAAAGATAAATGTCAGAGCTTTTCTGCAAAGTAGTTCTCCACACAAGAGTTAAAGTTTCATGGGCCATAATGTAGTGCACACAATTAAATGTTATCACGAAAATTTGTATGTAACTCTAAATATAAGCTATTGTACTTGAAATCTACTGTTGTTAAGTCAGAAATCATGCTCCCAAGCGTGTTGTTATAAATTCTTTTATTAAATAACTAGTAGTTTTTTGTTTTTGAAAATTATTCAAGAGTTATTTTGGAGAAGCAAGTTTCAACTAAATATGTGTGCTGAAATTATGATGGGAAGTTGACATGTCAAATTTGAGGTTCTAAATTCCAATAGGACCCCATGTTAGAGATGTTTGATGTGTCCTTTAAATAGGAGCTGGCCCAAGTATCAACTATATGGGCTGTTTTCAAAATAGTGACATGCGTTGGGCTAACATTCATATTCACAGTCTTCTTTTTTACTATCCTTGGGCCTTACCACTTAATTCCTTCAACTGGCCTATCACAGGGGACCCTCTCAGTGTTCCTTAATAAAAGCGTCTTCGTCGTATCTGTGAGGATTCAAATTCAAGACACCTAGTTAAAAATAGAATAGTACTTATCACTCCACCAAAATTACTCTTGTTGGTATCTTATTAAATCAAGTAGAATGAGACAAAAATAGGCACCATATTTATAAATCACATATCTTCAAGTTCTTTTTATAAAGATCCACTAGTCAATAATATTAGTAACTAAATATTTTCTAATATATTATTTGCACATTGACACATACGATCACTTCACACCGAGTATGAATCTTTTCTTTAGTGAAATTCAAAATGTTGAAAAAACAAAATATAAACTAATGAATTAAGTTATACATTAAAAAAAATTGAAATCGCAATTTGAAATCTCTAATCATGTGCTTTAGAGAATATGAGATTTGACCTCAGGATCCCAAATCACATGTCTAAACATTGATTTGAAATCATGATCACAAACGTGTACTTATTTCTCTTGTCAAAAAGTTTACAATTGGATTATTTGTTGTCCCAAAAAAAGAAAAGAAAAGTAACTTTAGTAGAGTATATTATTTCCCTAACTTCAGTGGCCATCCAAAAAACTACTCCCTGTGTCCCAATTATTTGTCCACTTTTCTTTTTTTAGTTGTCCCTAATTACTTGTTCATTTTGACAAATCAAGAAAGAATAATTTTTTTTACCTATTATACCCTCAATTAATTACTTTGAAAAATATATAAGTTTTTGAAAATCTTACGTTTATAATTCATCCACTTCACAATTAATAGGGGTAAAATGATAAACTCACTATGTCAATCTTATTTTCTTAATATGTATGTCACTTCAAAGGGACAAGTAATTAGAGATAGAGCGAGTAGTACTAGTACGTAATAGAGAACAAACTTAGAAAAGCAGAGGAAGTAAAACACTGAAACATTAACTATTCCCATTATCAAGATGTCTGAATTTACAAAGGGTAGGTAAAGAGAACATAGAAGAAATGCTAGTACTAATCTAAACTCTAAAGCCAAAATCTTGAAAAAGCTCTATGACTAAATAAGAAATAGTAATAATTGACTCAACATGCAGGAAAATCATGAGGAGGAGGAAGCAAACACTGAGAAGGATGTTGACCACTTTGAACAATCAATCCCATAGCAAGACCCCATGAAGTATGTTCCTCCAAGTGACAATGTATAAACCAAACTCCTGGATTATCAGTTATTACCCTTATTGCAGCCCACCCTCCAACAGGAACACCAACTGTGTTCCTCTCAGGTGGATCAACAACATTATAATTTTTCGTATCGCGATCAACATCATAATTTCCAAATCCCCTTCCCACAATGAAGAAATTATGACCATGTACATGAATTGGATGATTTTCTTGATTCAAAAAGCTCATGTCTTGAAACACGATCTCTAGTCTCGTGCCATATGGCACTACTAAGATCCTAGTACTAAATTCAGTATTCAAGTTTTCGGATAATGGATCCACCCCTGTGTAGTTAAAAGGATGAGGAGGCCGTTCAGGGAAACTAGACAACATGGTAGTCGATAAGTTCCTGTAGTGACTTTCCAAGATTGAAACTGAAGGCCTAACAAATGATTGATTATTCATTGATGCATAGAATTTCTTGTTTTTAAATCCTTTACATGTCTGATTAACAGGACAATCTTGAAGATTAAGGCTAATTGTAGTAATTACTCTCTTGTCTATTTTCTTAGGCACATTGCAAGGGTATTCAGGGGATTCTAAGCTTTTAAGTTTTTCGGTGAATTTGGTAGCATATTGAGTATCTTCCATTTGGGGTAAATTGGAAGGCAAAGTGAAGGATTTAACAGGGGTTTTGGTGATTTTTGTGTTTGGGATTTTGTATTTAAGGAAACCAATTGTAGTGGAATTGTCAAATGGGAAGACTGAAGTAAGATAAGGCCTAGCCGCCATGACAAACGTTCCTGTTGAATCAGGGATTTGATTTGCAGTGATTAAGACATTGGTTGTCTGTCCAGGGGTGATCATTATGGCTTTTGTTGTAAAGGGTTTTGTGTAAACAACATCAATTTCGACTACTGTTAATGTATGATTTGCCACCGCGAAGAAGAGTTCATCGTTTAGTGCTGCATTGATGATCCTAAGCAAGTATGTTTTGCCTATCTCAATTGTCTGGATGAATGTATCTGCAACACAAAAGGCTATGGTGAAGCACACAAACAAGAAAGGGGAGACAATTTAGTCTATTTAGATATTATGACCCGTTACGTGATCATCTGAATCAAAAGCTTAACTATGAGCATGTTATATCACGACTCATTTATTGTTCTGATCCGTTTTAACCTGTTCAAATTTGACCTGATTCGCTCATTTATCACCTCTAGACACTAGTATTTTGAATTTAGGCTTGGGTTTGATTAATTTTCTTACCTTTATTAGAACAAGGATACGAGGGCCCTGGCAAGCCATTTATGGTATAAGCATCAGAAGAATTAGGACCACTTCCATATAACTTCATGTCATTTTCAATATCTTCAATTTCTCCATTCCACCATTCACCTATTAATCAACATTGTATACCATGTCAATTTCATTCAATCAATCATGCTAAAAAAAAATGTTAATACAGTTTATTTCGATAATTAATTGATTAGTACCAAAGATTATGGGGATTTCAGCTTCAACAGAAGCTGAAAATGGATAAGGCCTTGTTCGAGGGTATATAATAAAAGCACCATAGACAGTGGCGCGTTGCCAGGAAAGATGAGCATGCCACCATAAGGTTCCCCTTTGGTTAATAATTGTGAATTTGTAAGTGTAACTTCCTCCTGGAACTATTGGACATTGAGTTATGTATGCTGGTCCATCTGCCCAACCACTTCTTAGCTGCCGTACCCCATGCCTATATATACCAGGTGCAAATTGCATCATCATAACTAATCGACTTCAAGCATAATGTAACAAATAAGTTACTCCGTTGCTTCTTCTGTTCCAATTTATGTGACATGCCTTATTAGTAACTGAAAAAATTCATTAAAATTGTGAATAATTACCAGTGGATAGTTGTGTTCCAGGGACTCTGGTTAGTGACTTTAACCTCCACATTATCGCCTTCATGAACGAAAATGGTTGGTCCTGGATACTTGCCATTCACTGTTAGCAATCTTTTCGTATGACATAAACGTCTTACGTTCTTTCTTTCTATCTGAAAATAGATAAACAAACACAAATCAGTTAGCTAATTACACTTAAATTAGCTAAAGAGTTTCAAGTAATTTACGTTGTATGAAAAACACCTAACAATTTGGGAGGATGAAGATAGGTTAACCAAGAAAATTGCTAGGGTTAGTAGTCCAATTACTAATAACTGACCGCGATTACCCATTTGGTTAATTAATTACTAGATTTTGTGTCTTCCTAATTAGTTAAACCTATAAGCCAGTACTCTAAAGTATTTATAGATCAAATATAATCATCATAAAAATTATATATATATGTCAGGCACATTCAACACGTAAAAAGTGACCATTAAATATTATAAGTTCAAGAGTTGATTGGTTATTCAGAATAATTTAGAAATAGGGGATTTTTTTTATAGAATCCGATCGAAACAAAAGACAAAAAAAGGGGCTGCACTTAAAAAATCCATAAATAGCACTAGCTGCTTAATTTTCTGGGCAGCAGGACTTGGCAACTTATAATTAATGACTGATTTTGATGTTTCCTTTTGCTTTTATATACGCAAATCTATTCAAATATCATAGTATAAGTTGGTTTTTTGAATTTTATACGGTGTGAATCTGAATTAATATGATAAGTGAACTTTGTATACAAAATTAATTTGTTACAAGAAAGTTAAGAATTGAATTGGTGAGGTAATGGCAGATAGTGTGCAAGGAATTTTATTTTTATGTGCTCTTTTAAGCTAGGAAAAGATGCTCATACATTGAGAACTTAACTAGTATTTTACCAAAATTGAAAGGGTGGAAATAATATGATTTTCTAATATTTTTACTTGCATAATAGACCAAGTCCAACAATCTACCAATATATATGCTCATTGTATCATGACTAAAGCTTTTTCTGTTTTTTTTTTTCTACAGGCACTATTATTTCATTTAATTCCAAGGCAACTCTACCAAAGTATTTAAATTTTTCTAATCGTATTTTGGAAAAAAAGAAACTAAAATTATTTTCTTGTCAGTTAAACTTAAATAATAGGATTCGTGGGCTGGGATGGGCCGGCCGAAGTCAGAAATTGTCAGCCCATTTTGGTCTCCGGGGCCCATCAGTTGATTAGTTGATGTGCAACAATTTTCCCGCGAAATCAAATTGGTGTGTTGAACTTGAGAGTTTGAAAATTAACGGTCTTGAACAATGCGCTTCAGAAGATTGCACAGCACCTGTTCGCGTTTACTACTGAATGAAACGGCGAGTCATCTCAAAGCAGAATTGCCACGCACCAAATTAGCTGGCGGTGAACCACCGGCGAAGTCAGCGAAAGTCAGTAGCTCAGATATAGTGCAATGGAACAGGTCTATCACCCAACACATGCGACAAGGAGAATGCGATTCCGCATTGAGCTTATTCAATTCTATGCCAGCAAAGTCCAGTGTATCCTGGAACGCAATGCTTTCTGGGTATTTGTTGAATGGCAAATTGGACCTCGCTCAGAAGCTGTTCGACGAAATGCCTCAGAGAGATTTGGTATCCTGGAACATTATGCTTAGTGGGTATATCAAGAATAAAAATTTTGGGGCAGCTAGGATTTTGTTTGATCAAATGCCTGTTAAAGATGTAGTGTCGTGGAATGCATTGCTTTCCGGGTATGCCCAGAATGGGTACGTTGATGATGCTAGAAGGATCTTTCTCATGATGCCCGTGAAGAATGAGATCTCTTGGAATGGACTTCTCGCTACATATGTTCAGAATGGGAGGATTGAGGAGGCTAGGAAATTGTTTGAGTCAAAGGATAATTGGCCGTTGGTTTCTTGGAATTGCTTGTTGGGTGGGTATTTGAGAAAGAAGATGCTGGCTGAGGCAAAGGTGCTTTTCGATAAAATGCCTGTCAAGGATCAGGTGTCATGGAACACGATAATTTCTTGTTATGCCCAGAGTGATGATTTGGAGGAAGCGAGGAGGTTATTCGATGAGTCCCCTATTAAGGATGTGTTTACCTGGACTTCATTGCTTTCTGGTTATGTACAGAATAGGATGGTAGATGAGGCTAGGAGGATCTTCGATGAGATGCCAGAGAAGAATGAGGTTTCTTGGAATGCAATGATTGCAGGATATGTGCAGTCTAAAAGGATGGACTTGGCGAGGGAATTCTTTGAGGCAATGCCTTGTAAAAACATCAGCTCTTGGAATACAATGATAACAGGTTATGCTCAAATTGGGGATATAACTCATGCCAGAAGTTTGTTTGATTGTATGCCTAACCGTGATTGCATCTCTTGGGCAGCAATTATTGCTGGGTATGCTCAAAGTGGCAACAGTGAGGAGGCATTACACATGTTTGTTCAAATGAAGAGAGATGGTGGGAGGATAAATAGGTCGGCATTTACTTGTGTTTTGAGTACATCTGCTGACATTGCTGCATTCGAGTTTGGAAAGCAAATACATGGACGACTTGTCAAGGCTGGATATCACACTGGGTGTTATGTCAGAAATGCACTCCTATCAATGTACTGTAAGTGTGGAAGTATTGACGAGGCATATGATGTGTTCGAGGAGATAGCGGAGAAGGATGCTGTCTCTTGGAACACAATGATCATCGGTTATGCAAGGCATGGATTTGGCAAACAAGCTCTTAGACAATTCGAATCAATGAAGGAAGTAGGTATCAGACCGGATGATGTCACCATGGTAATTGTTGATACATTTTATATTCTAAAGTATTATTTCGAGGGTACTGTAAAACTGTTTTTGCATTATTCAATCTGTTTAGAACTACTTAATCCCGAATTGCTTAATGCAATTGTATGTAAAGATTGCTCCATGTGTTGTGGGTTGCCTCAGCCACTGAGTTATACACATCATCTGATATAGGGTTTTGTCTTAATCTTTGTACAGTGGTTAAGGTTTCAGTTTTTGTGCTTTTTTTACAGGTTGGTGTATTATCTGCTTGTGGCCATACCGGCTTGATTGACAAAGGCATGGAACACTTTTACTCAATGGCTCGAGATTATGGAATAGTTACAAATCCCAGGCATTATACTTGCATGATTGACCTTCTGGGTCGAGCTGGGCGACTGGATGATGCTCAAAATCTAATGAAGGATATGCCTTGTGAACCAGATGCTGCAACCTGGGGTGCTCTCCTTGGGGCAAGTAGGATTCACGGAAACACTGAATTAGGAGAAAAGGCTGCTGAAATGATTTTCAGATTAGAGCCTTGGAATGCCGGGATGTATGTCCTTCTCTCAAATTTATATGCAGCCTCTGGCAGATGGCGTGACGTTAGCAAGATGAGATTAAAAATGAGGGACACAGGAGTAAGGAAAATGCCTGGTTACAGCTGGGTTGAGGTGCAAAATCAGATACATCTTTTTTCAGTTGGGGATACCATGCATCCAGATAGCAAGAGAATATATGCTTTCTTGGAAGAGTTAGAATTATTAATGAAGCAGGAAGGTTATGTCTCTGCCACGAAATTGGTCCTGCATGATGTAGATGAGGAGGAGAAGGCACACATGCTCAAGTATCACAGCGAAAAATTAGCCGTTGCCTTTGCAATTCTAAATATACCATCTGGGAGACCAATTCGTGTGATGAAAAATTTAAGGGTTTGTGGAGATTGTCATACTGCAATCAAACTCATATCGAAGATTGTGGGTAGATTAATTATTGTTCGGGATAGTAACCGTTTTCATCACTTCAGTGAAGGTGTTTGTACCTGTGGAGACTATTGGTAGTACTAGAGAGTAGAGTGTGAAAGTATACCAATTAGATTTTAGCTGCTGTATACTTAGCTATTGTGCTGGTCTTCTCCACAAGTGTTGAGGATTTACTGTAGTTATTGCACACATGGAAGCAAAGCACAGAAGAGGGATAAGTGGATAATCCCTTTCTTGTTGTTTGGTGAATTTGGTGCGTATAATCTGTGATCTCCTCATTGATCTTGGTAAAAAGGAGATTGCTGAGATGTATCGCCCATAATTGTTGCACTTACACACCATATAACAAAAGGAAGAGAAATAGTTTCCTTAAGTTTCTCAGAGATCTGGTAATCAGAATAGAGTGACGTGAATTTGTAGGAGGGGTTTAGCAGTTGTGCCTCTAAAATAAATTAATTATCACTTCAGGAGTACTTTGGTCCTCTGTTCTCTGGCGAGAGATTCTTGATTGGCTCCTTCTACCTGTCTGGCCCAAACGCATGACAGTGACTGTTTGTCAGGTATCATAAATCTGCTCTACCCTAAGCTCGCTGACTGATTTCCTGCTTCTTTGAGCCTCACTAGCTAAGCTGTAATGATACTATTGTGGCCCAGCATTTACACATAGTGGAACTCTCCTCAAAATCTGCTATCTAAGATTATCCTGGCCCTAAGTTAACCTCATATGCGGCCACGAGAAAAATCATACTTTTCTTGATATGGTGAAGAGCACATGTATTGGATGACTATACAATCACCAAACTTACTTGTAGGTGGTACTGGTATCCTTCTGAGTTTTGAGAGCAAAAGGTAAGAAAATTTATTTCATCCTTGATTCATCTTCCTATGATCAATAGTTCGTGTGAGATTCACTTAAGATATTTATTGTTAATCTGTTCAAAGCAGTGATAGCGTAGCACAGTCTCTGTAATTTGTAGTTTCTGTGTTCCGAAACTAGTTACATTCTGTTTCAGGAAGAAAGGAGTTATACTTTGAAGTTCAAACACACTGAACAGAATGGTCGAAAGCCACCTTGCTTGAAGGTAAAAAATACTTAATTGCTAACCAGTTACCTATTTAAGGGAATACTATCCTCTCACAAACATGGAATGCGTCATATACTATAACAGAATCCTTGGAAGGAGAAAAATGTTGCATTTGGGGTGTGTTGCTATGGAGGAAAACATATGTTTTTCAATTTTTCCATGTTTGGTCAGTCAAAATGTTTTGGAAATATTTTATGTAGAAAAACAAGTTACTTAAAATTAGGAAAACTGATTTCTCCAATGGAAGTATGGAAAAGTGGAAAACAAGTTCCATTAGCGGCATACCATGTTGATTGTCTCCTCCGCACCCCCAACACCCCATCACTACACTGCCACAGACCTCCCTCCCCTAACTCTCCACCACCAACCCCCGTCCCCTCTGACCCTCACTCCACCGCATCCGCCATAGTGTTTGCCTAAATTATACATAAAATGCTTGGATATTTTCTGCTCACTTGCGAAACACCAAAAATAAGAAAGAAAACACTTATTTCTAGCAAAATACTTTCTCTTCATAGCGGACACCCTTAACCTTTCTGTCAGCCGAGTGTTTGTGCAAGAACTTCCTGTGGAACAGTGTGTCTGGCTTACTGAATTATATCTCCTAGAGAATTTAAGAAGATCGTTCATTCAAACAGAACTTGACAAAGAGTAAACAATAAAGTTATATGTTGTGTATATGTTGCAGTTTGTCTGACTGTTTCTGTTTAGATGACATGAAGGGTACAAATAAGACAAAAGAAAGAGATTCTCTTAAGTGTCAGCGTATTTGTTTTTAAATGATGGGATGGTCTTTTGATTTTCATTAGTCTTTAACTTGGTGAAAAATCTTAGTTTTCTTCTTAAGTTGATCTGTAGACAATGATGTGTCCTAGATCTTGGTCTTTTACATTAGATGTTACAAATGAAATACAAATGAGCTGATTCTACCAATATAAGATCAGGACAAAAGTAATACTCTAGTCAACAAGGCAAATGAACAAAAAGCTAATGTAGTGAGCTAATGAAAAAATACATCTGCGGTTAGCAAGGTTTTGATTAATCACATATACGAGACTCATATTTTCCTTTTGATTTATTCTGGTCCAACATGTGAGGAACTGAAGTTGGCAAGTCATAGATAAAACGATATAAGGAGACATTCCTTTCTTATTACAGAATAATTTCTTTCATTTGCCTTAAATAATTTTTTGTTGAGTTAATAGAAGTCATGCAGTTTCAGTACTTGATTTGAGGAAAATTACTGATGGTTTTTTGAGGTACCACACTTATTTAGTAAATCACTAACCCGGTTTGAGAATCAATTAGAATTAGATTGGAGATATAATACTGGTTTAGTGAAATTAATCCAGATATTTGTGTGTACTGTAAAGAGGATATTCTTAGGTACTGTACACATACATGAATCTCCAACTTTGTAATAGATTGGTTTTCAAGCTTAGATTGATATCTAATAAGTTTTGCACTTGCAGCAAAGCCCATACCTGCAGTTACTGAGTTTGTTGCACAGTTACAGATCTTGGAGCTGTTGGACAATGTACGGGTCAAACGTAAACCTAGCCTTTCATTCACTCTAATTAGCTTCAGAATTGCGTAAGTGCATTCATACATCTGTGATTAAATAAACGTTGTGTGCTCTCTCAGGCTATTTTTACTGCTGGCTACAAGGCTGTGTTGCACATTCATGCTATTGTTGAGGAATGTGAGATGTTGAACTGATGCAGCAGATTGATCTCAAGAAAAGAAGCCCATGAAGAAAAAACCTTTGTTTGTAAAGAACGGAGCAATCGGTCTATGTCGTGTTCAGGTTAGTTGTCTACTTGAGTAGGATGAAACCTGTCACTTTAGTATCTCTACAATTGTAATTTATGTTTATTTTCACTAGCTTTAAATATTTATGCTTTCCAAAATATGTGCCTAGCCTCAACTGTAAAGATAAAATCGGCAATGCTTTACATATGGGATAATACTAACCCCTTTTCCTCTTTCATTTCTGCTTTTCCCTTCTGTTGTATAGTGTGCTAGGTCTTGATCTTCCGAAATAATCATGCCAGGTGAATAATCTGATTTGTATCGAGAAGTTCTCTGATTTTCCACAACTTGGGCGGTTCACTCTTCGCAGTGAAGGTAAAGAACCATTTTGCCTTGTAAGCTTGCCATGCTTTAATTTATACACTACCTTGTTGTTTGGTGAATTTGGCGCATATAATCTGTGATCTCCTTATTGATCTTGGTAAAAAGGAGATAAGCTGAGATATATCGCCCATAATTGTTGCACTTACGCACCATATAACCAAAGGAAGGGAAATAGTTACCTTTAAGTTTCTCAGAGATCTGATAATCAGAATGGAGTGACGTGAATTTGTAGATGGGGTTTAGCAGTTGTGCCTTTAAAATAAATCAATTATCACTTCAGGAGTATTTCAGTCCTCTGTTCTCTGGCGAGAGATTCTTGATTGGCTCCTTCTACCTGTCTGGCCCAAATGCATGGCAGTGACTGTTTGTCGGGTATCATAAATCTGCTCTACTCTAAGCTCGGTGACTGATTTCCTACTTCTTTGAGCCCCACTAGCTAAGCGGTAATGATACTATTGTGGCCCAGCATTTACACATTGTGGAACTCTCCTCAAAACCTGCTATCTAAGATTATCCTGGCCCTAAGTTAATCCTCATCCGCAGCCACGATGAGGATCACTGTAAAACGAAAGAACATATTACTTTCTCCCTGTGTTCAAAGTGTTATGTTTTCATACACTATAATACTATACTCAGTCCAAATTGTATTTATAGCTCAAATGAAAATTAGTTGCAGTAAAGGAAAATCAACTGTTTGCTCATTTTGTTGCTGAAAACTCCCACAAGACAAAAATACTACTGTTAAGCTTTTATATCGTTCAGAGTATCCAGATATTCCCAAAAAAGACCATATACACAGTGATTTTAAATCATGTACTATAATCTATGTATAACTTTGTCCGCGAACCAAACAACCCCTAACTTTATACGTGAAAAGGGGTACAGACTATAGAGGGGAGAGGGATGGAAAGACAAACAGACAGACTAGACTCATCAAGATACCATAGGTAAATGAAGCGTATGGTACATAAAACTGGCCGCGCTAGGATATTTGAATGTTCACAGCATTTATTGTTAATCTGTTCAAAGCAGTGATAGCACAGTCTCTGTAATTTGTAGTTTCTGTGTTCCTAAACTAGTTACATTCCGTTTCAGGAAGAAAGGAGTTATACTTCGAAGTTCAAACACACTGGAAAGCCACCTTGCCTGAAGGTAAAAAAGTACTTTTATCAGTTGTGGATCCGATTGGACAACTTTGGGTACGGATGTGAACATGTCTGCTCAAGCCACTTTATCATTCCATTCAGAGGAGTAATAATTTATCCCTGACATAGCTAGGTGGGATAGTAGTAGTCAAGTGGATGAAGGGTATACCAACTCTATAATATAACAAGAGATAATCAACATGTTTTTGTCTACTTCTGGGATCACCACTCAGCCCATCAATCTCCCTTGATAATTTTTGCTGGTAGTGGTTTTCCAGGTTTTCAATACAATTCAGAAATAAATAACTATCTCATGAGTCTAACAGTCACCAAGTATATTCTACCTAGATCTTAAGACAGACATTAAGTTCAAATATCAATTGCCAAATCTTCTCATTTTGTTCCTTTCCCAGTTGTTGGTTTCGGTTTTACGCTTTGGTCCACTTCCAGAGCTACCAACTATGCCATCAGTGTTGAAGCAAGCAACTGCTCTCTGTAAATAAAAATATTTTATAAATGAGCACTCCTCCCCTGAACATTTGCTTCATGATCTATAAGGCTAGATCAAACTGTATATATATTGCAAACAGCAAGGTATGTGTTTTACCTCAATGCTTGCTTTTTGACCTTGTAAATTACCTATTCAAAACAACATGAGATGTGACTCAACATGTATAATTTTCAAGAAAAAGAAGAAGTCAATTATAGTCGGAATTTTCTCACCAGAGCATTTAGGCAACATTTTCTCTCTAGAGCCAGTATCCATTCTGGTTTGCATACTAGGATGAGACTTATTTTTGGACATGATGATCTCGTGAAGCATTCCTGCATCAGTTTCTTCAAGATCTTTAAGGTGTTAGAGTTCTTTTGCACATAATATACCTTTAAGCATTGAGAGAGAAAAACCAGTGAATCAACATACCCAAGAGTGATTCAATCGCGGCTTGAGCAGCTACTTGCTTTGCCATTTGCTTGCTCCCAGCTAGCTCACCTTTGTAAGTTTTGCCTCCCAACACCAAGTGACAAATATAAACTGAGGGCCCTTCTGTATATCTAGTGTTATATATAGGCCTATCCAGATTCCTCTTGACAGCAAATTCATAGAGAATGGATTTGCACAACATGGGTTCCTTCAACACACAAAAACAAAAGTTCAAATCAGTATTTTGAGCAAACGAACATCTAGCTATTTAGGAAGAAGCAACAAGTGAATATCACCTTGTAAATAAGTGAAATATCTCTAGCATCAATTTTGTTGTGAATGCATTCATAAGCTATTTTTGCTACTGCCTGCTCTGCTTCTTTCTTCGTGGGATATGTCGACTTGGATTCATATTCAGATCCATCAACCAAAACCTTTGCTCTGAACTTTGGGGCATGTGGAAAACCTTCATTAACTGTTTGATAAATTGGAAGTTGTTTGACATTTTTTTGTGTGTACTCTTGCAGTTGATTCTTGTACATTACTTGTGCCGGAGGAACTGCAAATAAATTATACCATAAATAATATTAGTTGAAAGCATCAAAATACATTAAAACATGAATTAAGCAAGAAAATAATGGTGAGTGAGAAGAAAGTTGAAATGAGAGATGCATACTGGAAGTAAATTTGGGGAACTCCATATTTGCTGAAGATGCATTTCTTTGAGAAACTAAAAATGGAGTTTTGAAGAGTATTAGCCCTTTAACATGGCTTTGTACAACACTTACTTTGCATGAGAACTGTGAAGGAGAATCATTTTGTACAATAACACTACTTTTTTTCTTTTTTCCTTATTTTTTGAGAAACTAAAAATGGAGTTTTGAAGAGTATTAGCCCTTTATCATGGCTTTGTACAACACTTACTTTGCATGAGAACTGTGAAGGAGAATCATTTTGTACAATAACAAAGTTTTTTCTTTTTTTCCTTAACGTTCATATAATAGCAGGTAAATGCTTTATTTGCAAAACTACATATTCCATATTTTAAAGAATTTTATCTACAAATATAATTTGAATGATCAAATAGTATAAAAAATATTTATATTGATGGTGTACAAAAAAAATCAATGAATAAATGTGCTTTACGCCCGCAAGGGCAGATTGAGTGGTAGAGAAGTGGATCTCCCATCTCATTTGTAGTTTGCGAGTTGTTACATAGTAATTAGGTTACCACAAAGTACTCACTAAAGAGTGCTCATCCGAAGAGTAGGTGTTGTTGGTTTACTTGAGAGTTCAAAAAAAAATGTGTTTTATTATAATGGCAAGTTCTAAAATGGAATCAGCTTCCTTTTGCATTTTTTCCCCATTTCGCAGCCGTAATTGTACACTTGTACTCCTATTTTAGAAAAAAGAGTACAATATTTGAGCATTTGATTGTCACAATATCCAAAAATACACCATTAGTTCAAACGCAATATATTTTTTTTAATTAAAGGGAAGGTTAAATGTATATCGTCATATATCAAAACAATTAAAATAAATTATTACTAATAATTGCGAAACTAAAATTGTTATCCTTAAATAATTCACTAAAGAGGAATATAAAATAAATAAGATTAGAATAACACTTTTGGTTAAAGGAAGAGTGTCGTGCAGCGTCGTGCTTACAATATCTTTTTCCCTATTTTATAACTAAGAAGAGTGTTGAACATGCAAAGACTATGATGACAACAATGACAACAAGTAAACAACACGCCTAGTGATATCTCACTTAATGGGTAGAGTACTCTGAACATGCCTTATCACTATCTCGTGAAGATAAAGATGTTTTCGAAAAACACTTGGCTCAAATGTATCAAATCCAAACACAAAAGAAGAAAATAATATAGAAAAGTTATTAGCAGTATATAAAAAATACTATAACATCCAATTCAAACAAAGCTAAGTCAAATCTTGCAAAGTGAATTCATGATCCCACGAAACTTGACAAGTATCATGTATATTTCTATCAAGATATTAAGACACACTTAAATTCCAAGTATCAGTTGTCAAATCTTCTCTTTTTGTTCCTTCCTTCGTTGTTGGTGTTGGCGTTACGCTTCTGTCCACTTGAACTTTCAAATAGGCTCTTAGTTGGAATTTGTCTCATCTTCACTATTTTATTTATGACTTGTATTATTTATAATATGTTGTTGTTGTTATAGTAGTAGTATGGTATGTGCATGGGGTGGGAATGTGGAATGGGGCAATGAAAATTAGGTGTAATGGGAGTCAACATATTATATATATACACATGAATTAAAAACTTATGTTCTTGCTTAATTCATGTTATTAATGCTTTTTTGTGTATTGAGTCAATTATTATTGTATAATCAATTTCGTTTCAATTGCTACGATATGCAAAAATCAATTACAAGAGTACACACAAAAAGCTGGGAAAAGACTCCCAATTTACCAATCTTTTAATGAGTGTTTTGAAAACTTCCCGAAGTATAGAGCTAAAGTATTGGTGGATGGTGTTGAATACAAATCCTAATTGACACATTCAACAATAAATCAAGATGAGCAAGAAGTTGCAAAAGTTGCTTGTGAATCCATTATTCATCAAGAAATTAAAGTTGAAACTTTTCAGTTTCTTTATGAGGTAATCACTTTACACTTTTTGCACCTTTTGAATAGTGTGCTAAAGATTCATTTTTGCTCAAAAAGGTTACTACTTTTTTGTGTTTTTTTTTAAAGGACCCTACGTTGTGCAAATATATTCTAAATGAATTTGCCATCCACAAGAAAATGAAACCTAAATATAATATGAGATGTCATGCAAAAGGACAAAGTTCAGTTTTTATTTCCCACCTTGCTTTTAATGGTAAAACATATATAGGTAAAAAAGCTGGTAATAAGAAAATGGTTGAGCATTTAGCTGCTCGAACGCGAACGAATAACTATTAAGTATGTTTATTTATTGTTTTATTTT